GAAAAAAGCAGATATTCTCTTAAACTTTTAAATTAACGTGGATAATAATAAATAAATGATAATTTTACTAATATGATAATGATTCGGTTTTAATCTTACCAAAAAACAAATAATGATTCTGTTTTAAAAATATATAAATTTTCTTTGTTTAGTTGTAGATATTGTCATATAAAAAATTCTTAGATCCTCCACTGCCTTAATTTTATGTAAATACCTTGCTTGATATTTAATTTTGATTTGATATCATAACTAATCCTTGCTTTTTTTTTCGGCACTAACCATTGAATTTTTTATACTGCCATTTAATTCTTGCATAAAAAATAATAATTAATAGTAGTGTTTATTATGAATGCAGGTTTGTTTTCCATAAAAACTAGATTGGATTTATGGAAGCACGTCATTGTTTCCAGTGCGAGGAAACAAATGTCGTATCACTGCTGTTGTGGCTCTTTAGTACTTTCGTTTCTGTTTATGGCTTTGCTTCGGTTGTATGGTTAGTCATCAATCATTGATCTTCTCATTGTTTGAATATTGTTGCATAGGAAAAATCTTTCTTTTTTATGAATCTTTCAAAAGTTGGGTCCATGCTATTCTCAGTGATTGATTACGTTTATTGAATATTTGTGTGCTTCCTCTGCTGATATTCTAATTCATGCTTTATTCGTCGTCTTTGATACACTCTGATTAACCATTGTGGACCTCTAGAGTCTAATTTGCAATATTAATGCAAGTCTCTTTAACTTACGGATTATGAAGAGCATCCTAAGATCGTTTAATTTGATTCAGGCTTTATGTGGCTAATGTTTGGTCTTGGATGTGAATTAGTCTATCATGTTTCTTGGAAGGTAGGAAGCAATCTTGATGTTTACCAAAATCCAATGTGCTCTTTTGTAGCTCAGTTTTGAAATATGTACTAATTATTGTAGAGGGAACCCGAAACAAAGAGACCATATGTATGATTTTATATGCGAAGAGAAGCTCCGAATTTGAAATCGTCTCCACTCCGGTGATATGTGGCCATGGTGTGAAGGAGTCTGGAACCATGGTTATTTCAGATTCGGACATAACCGTAATTGTTAAACTAATAAAAATAAGATCAAACGTACCGGATTGATGAGAATTTTTGGTGTTCTTCGTCATGTTCTTCGTCGTATGGATCTAACAAAATAAAAAAAATATATATACCCCAGAATTTTTTTGTTTGTTAATAGAGAGAACCCACCAATTTTGTAGCGTTGATTGTGACATCGAATTGTTTGTCGGATGAATATAAGTCTCTAATCCGGAGACTGAAGTTGAACCCTAACAAAAACATATATTCATAGCATAAAATTCATAAATAAAAGGTAGAGCATCACATAGCTTTTTCTTCAAAGCCAACACATCTCTCTTTGTAGCCGAATTACTCTCCAGTTTGGTATATACTCAAATTTTCCAATGACTTCCTTCTCGAACCTGGAGCGTTTTTGCTTTGCCGGATATTTTTAGGATATGGCTCTTATGTATCTCTTGTGAGTCACTTGATATGTTGTTTAGGTAAAACTTTTGGTTTGAAAGAGAATGATCTACGACAAGCATAATCGGTTATTTGTTATATATGTGGCCATGTTCATATTGCTTTCTCCACAAGCAATTTTCCAGTTTTGTAGCATTCGATATTTAAATTTAAAAGCTTCAATACGTTGTATACATGTGTATGTATGTACATATATGAATTATTCTCAGTTGCACATAGTGGTTTCTAATGGATAGATACTTGCTCTCTGTAACCCTCTCATTTTTAGTACCTATCTTCAGTGTTTACTTTGCTAAGAGCTTCTTGATAGGCATACATCTTTGCAATCTCAGATCAATATACTACAAATACATATACGATACAGTTAAGAAAATGATATTTCTCTTACAACTTTTTATATGGGTTTTATAAACAAGAGATCAACTAAAGGGTTACGCAGCGACCAATGGCGAAGGTAGAGACAAAGATACTACAATAGGGACGATAAATATGACACGATATATACAAAGGAGATGCCTGTTTCTATACCATTGAAATTTTACGTACATAACTACTTCAAAGAGCAAGATGACTTACTTGGTAGGTAAGAGATATGGTAAGAGATTATATTTTTCAATTATTTGTTTCCAACTACGAAAAACTCCAGTGACATACAATCTAAAAGCATGAATATGTCATAAAATCAAGAATACAACAAAAACCAGGAAGATGGGCCCAAATTAAAGTCTGAAACTGGACGTGGGGAACCCACGGACAGTGGCGGTAGGAGCGTTACAAATATGAAAGAAACGAGGAAGCGTGAATATGTCATAAAACCAAGAGTACTACAAAACCAAGAAGATGTGCTCAAAGAACGAAACTGGACGTGGGAACCCACAGACAGTGGCGGTCGTGGCATTACAAATATGAAAGAAACGAGTAAGCATGAATATGTCATAAAATCAAGAGTACGACAAAACAAAGAAGATGGGCCTAAAGACCGAAACTGGACGTGGGGAGCCCACGGACAGTGGCGGTCGGGGCGTTGCTAATATGAAAGAAACGAGTAAGCATGAATATGTCATAAAATCAAGAGTACGACAAAACAAAGAAGATGGGCCTAAAGACCGAGACTGGACGTGGGAACCCATGGACAGTGGCGGTCGGGGCGTTGCTAATATATTGTTGGTTTAAATATATAGATTTTTTATATTTAATTCTATTATATAGATCAAGATATAAACACTAATAATTGTTTGTGATTCAAAAACACTATTAATTGTTGATTACTAATAATATATATCAAAAGTTATAGCGTTTTACCATAATTCTATATTAATGTCATTATAAAAATTAGACTCTTGACAAAATTAATTCAATAAATATCTCTAACTTGATAACCCTAAATATTAATTATTAATTTGGTCTTAATCAACATACAACTCCGCGCTGGGCGCGGGGACCTCCCCTAGTGGATTTATATATAGATAAAAATATTAAAAGAAACTAATATATTACACTAGATATGGATCCGTGCGTTGCACGGATTACCGGTTGAAATTATCATTTTTAATTTTTATTTTTGTAAGCTTAACTAAAATTATATATAACATATGTTTTAATTTTAGAAAATATAGTATTTTAATTATTTTTGATATATAGATTAATTATGCATAATGTACAATATAGAATACTATTTGTAGTTTTGTTTATTATGTGTTACAATATGATATTTAATAAATGTTCATATGAATTATAATAAATTATCTACATCCATCGGAAGAGTGTATAACACTTTCTAATTTCAGGGCAAGATGAAAACAAAATTGTGACAATCTGAGACAGTCTGTATCCACATCATGTAACTTTACTTGATAAAATGAGAAATCCTCAAAATAAAAAGACAAAATTATAAGGAATTAGTGAATATGCACTAAATAACCTAAAACTAAAAAAGAATTAAAAAAATAATATTAACTAAACAATGTTTATTTGCTATATGGTTTTTGTCAATTTTTGGCGCATATTACTCGTGAGTTATTCGTTGTCTCTTTTTTTTTTCCTCCCGCCGGCGAGAAGTCTCAAATCTATTTTTTCTCTCATTGGATTTTTCTTTTTTTTGTTTGATCTCTTCTTTCTTTTTCTTTCTCTCACTCTCGTTGGATTTCTTCACCACTATATTTTTTTCTTTTTCCATATCACTATTTCTCTCTTTCGTCGGGCATCACCACCGAGTCTCACTACTCCGACCCACTAAACCACCACCACAACTGAATCTCACAACTATCACAATCATCATCACCATCAATACTAAATCTTGCTAATTCTGACCCACCACCTTCATCAATATTTACCGCCACCACCACCAAACTTGAACCACCGTCATCAACACCAACACCACCGTTACCGCATCTTCCTCTCTTTCCCCAACTGCTCTTATTTCTCTACCTTCTTTATCTCCTCCGACATCGGGTCGAACTTTTTCGACAATAACTCTATTTTTTGTCCATCGCTGTTCATATTTCTTAATTTCTCTCCATTGCTATATATTCTTAATTTGTCTATCTATCTATTTATTTATCTATAGAGGTGAGTATTTAGAATCTTTTTTTCGAGGATTAATAATTACTTATAAAAATTCTTTAATTATCAATTGTATAATTTCATAAATATTTTTTAATTTTAAGGAAAAAGTAAATTTTTATTTTAGAATTATTAGCTTTAAATTAGAATTAGTAAATAATTTTTTAATTTCTATTTTTATTTAATAAGATACGTATAGTTTCCTTATAATTATCTTCTTTACTTTAAAAATTTTTTTTTATAAGATATATATGTATAGTTGCCTTATAATTTTTTTTTCTTAAATTTCTATTTTTATTTCATAAGATACATCTAGTTTCCTTATATTTATCTTCTTTAGATTTTTAGAATTTTTTTATATAAGATATATACGTATAATTTTCTTATAAAATTTTTTCTAAACAAATATTTTTTTTGGTTTTACACGTTGATAAATTTGACATGTGCGTATAGTTTCCTTATATTTTTTTCTAAATAAATAAAAAGAAACTTTTGTTTAACACGTGTCAAAATCTGAAATCGATAAATTTGACACGTGACACGATCCTATGAGTTATTAACTTTAAAAATCATACTTTATTTATATAATAAGATATTTTCGTCACCATTAAAAAATGAATGAAATGTTTGATGGTTTATAAGTTACACAATTAACGACTTGCGGCCGATAGAAGATAAATATAACCGACTTGGGTTAAGAGTATAGTTATCAATTTGTGCACAAATACACTACTATATATATGCACGAATAAGAATAAGCAAAAAGATTTCATCTCAACGAACGACATCGTTTTAAAAGACACAAAACCTTTTTATTCTTCTAGCAAAGTCACAACAGCGTGCCTTGATAGCCGCTCTTTTTCTCCTCTTTCCCAGTCACCCTTATCGCCGCTGTTTCGTCTTGAATTATTATCAGGTTTGTTTGCTTCTCTCTCTTTCTTCTTTAACCAAGCTCCGTTGGTGGCGGAAATGACAGATCACAGTTTCTTTATTTATGTTCTGATTTGCCTTGTAGACAGTTTGTTGCAGATCTAAGGTTTATAATTCTTATCTTGTTTCGTTTTCTTTAGTCTTGTGAAAGTTTTTTCTGTTTTTAGTATAGTCTATACTTGTGTGTTCTTTAATTTCTATATTCTATGAAATTGGTTTCTTTTAGTCAATGTATTCGTTGGCATTTTCAAAACACCCTTTTTATATCCATCTCTCTCTGAATTTCGAAATGATCCTCAAACGAGTTTTCGTCAATTCTCTCAAATTCAACGGGACTCTGGACGAATTTTAGGGGAAATTTGTTCAGATTTTACCAAGTAAATCCGATTTCTTATCCATTGGAGTTTTAAAATCACACATCTTTCACTTCTTTTTCTTGAAAAAACCTAATTTTGTTTCTCATCTTTCTCTCTCTCTCTTTTGTTTCACTTGATGCACAGATTAGAGGTTCTTCTGTGGATAAAAAGTGGTTCGAAGATGAATCATTGTAGCCTTCAGCAGAACGCCTTCATGTCTCGTGACGAATCGAGAGGATTTGTTCCTATCTATTGTTATCCAATGGACTATGTTGTTTGTCCTAAGCCTCGTCGTGCCAACAACGTTATTCGTCCCCTTAGATTACATTTTAGGTATAAAGTTTCTTCTTTTATTATCCTTGTCCATCCAAACATCGAATTGCTTTTCGTAACAAAAAATGTTGATTTGCTTTGCTTTGTGGATTGACAGTCAATCAGGAGCTGATGATGTATCTGATTCTAAAGCCGGGGAAGATCTTTTGGACATATTTCGTAGAAAGGTTTGTCTCTTTTTTTTTCACTCTGTTTCAAAAATGTTGCATTGAAGCAATGTCTATTAAATTTCACTTGCTTGAACCACCTTTCTCTAATTGAAGTTCTTTGTATAGTAATCAACGCTAAGCTATATAGTTGCTTCAAGTGGTTTATTTATCTTTGTAAATTCTAAAGCAGTGGTCCATATATTGTCTTCATCAGATTTCACTTGACTAAATTATGATTCTTGTTCAACTCGTAGCTATATAGTAGCATAGAAAGATTGATCTTTTGTTGAATTTGTAAAGCTACTGTCCACACTTTGTGTATTGAGATCTAAATTATGGTTCCTGTCTTCTTCTTTCTCTAGGAATCAGTATCATCTACGTCACCCCCATTTTTTCTTGGGTCTCCCCCGAGCCGAGCAGCAAACCCGTTAGCTCAAGATGCACGCTTTGGAGATGAGAAACTCATCACTGTCTCACCCTCACTCTCCCCTCGTGTTAAAGCAGGAGGAGGAGGTTGTGGTAGAATGAAGTTTGGGGTGAAACCAGCAACTGTTAGAGTAGAAGGGTTTGATTGCTTGAACAGGGACCGCCAAAACTCAAGCATTCCTGCCGTGGCCTAGAAAGAAGAAGAAGGAACAAAGAGATTCACAAAGTGTACATAAGATCCAGAATCAAGACTATTTTTTTGAAGCAAGTATATATATTTTTGCAGAAGAAGAGGGGAAGGAAGATCAAAGTTCACTCAAGGCTTTTACCGCAGTTTTCTGATGAGGTTCAGTGGTGTGTATATATATATGGGTAAGATCGAGATTTTATGTGTTAAATTACGTAAAATTAAATGAGTCTCGTTCGTTGTAAGATATTATGACCAATTTGGAGTGTTGTTCTCTTTTCTCTGTATAGTAACGATTCTTCTTTCTAGAGATTCTCAAATCTTTGTAAATTTTATTTTTGATATATTTAAAATGTTAAATGCTTTTGTATCATTTGAACAAGCTTCAGTCTTTAGAGATTTTAGTTGTCTTGTCTCGTTGGATGCGAATGAAACGAAGCCATCCGTTGTTGACTACGTAACGTGACACTTACGAATTACGTACGGTCTGTTCAACGAAAAAAGATTACTTCAATATTGTCGTGAACCAAAACCTCTAACCAAAGGAATGTAAATTGTATTTGACTAATTTATTTTGTTTAGAACTCATTAAACTTTTGCCCAAAAAAAAAAAAAAAAAAAAAGAACTCATTAAACTTTGAACCAAACCCATGGATACGAATTGCAGTAGAAATATAATACTGATCAGATGTATGGAATGCTATATGGTTTGTTTTGTTGTTAAATGTTACATGTGGCTTTTTAGAAAATACTTGACAGAAGAGAATCCATTAAACTCAAATCAAATGTGCAACAAAATGGGTCTCAAGATATTGTAATGTATTCTAGGTGTAAATTAAATTAAAGTGGATTACTTGAGAACATCAAAGCTGATTTTTGGTTGTCTGAATTAAACTAAAGGTGATTAAAGATAATCTAATTTATTTTTAACTAAAGATGACTTAAGATTATGTTTTTTTACGAAACCGTCGGCGAACAGAGATCCGCCCACAGTGAGAGAGAAGAAAATATCAAAACCCGGAAACCGAAAACCAGAAACCAGTCAATAGTTTTGGACATATATAAAAGCAGTATTGTTAAACCGATTCTTTTCCAGAAAACCAGGAGCTATAAATGTGGGCCCCAATTCTCCAAATGCTCCTCAAATGACTCAAATCCCATCTGGATGAATTACGTGGCGATTCGACCAAATTTTCTGACTCGCGAGCGTGGAAGCCACGTGTTCTTATCACATTTTTTGACCAAAAAAACACAAAGTGTAGTTCTATCTAACATATTTAGGACAATTTAACAAAAATCCTACTTCATAGATTATAGATACTCTGAATTGGTCAGATGCTCTAATCAACAACCATATTAAATCGTTTTGGATCGAATTAGATTGTAAAATTCAGAGTTTATAAAACAGTCATTAAATATTGTAATAAATGTTATGGCACGTGCAGGACACGCGCATTGGATAGAAAGTGGGGACAAAAACATAACTTGGGGAAGAAACACAAAGAAGCAAAACCTTGAACCAGGGAAAAAAAACAGCGGCGGTTCTGGGAAAAAAACAGGAAGGATTTCGCAATTAAAAGACAAAACAACCCTTGTCTTTAGAGGAAAACAGCTCTTCTTATCTTGTTTTCTTTGTCTTCTGCCTTCTTTCTTCCCTTGGTTTTATAACCTCTCCGATTCCCCCAAAACCCAGGGGCTTCTTACACGCACACAATCCTTTAAAGCTATTGTCTTTCTTATATAAGTAGTGAATCTTCTTCTTCAGCTCCCACAAAATCTCCGAAATAACTTTCAAAACAGGGACAAAAAGTTTCAAATCGCTTTCTTGTGTGTTGGGTTTGTGTTTTGTACGATCAAGTTGTTGTTACATGTAAGACAATCGAAATCAAAGATGCGGATGAGCTGTAATGGATGTAGAGTTCTTCGAAAAGGGTGTAGTGAGGATTGTAGTATAAGACCGTGTTTAGCTTGGATCAAATCGCCTGAAGCGCAAGCTAATGCAACTGTGTTTCTCGCCAAGTTTTATGGCCGTGCTGGACTCATGAACCTCATCAACGCCGGTCCCAATCACCTTCGTCCTGGTTAGTGGTTTTCTTTTAAACCTTTTGAGAAACCGACGCCGTGTGATCGCTGTTGTGAATTATACTTTCGAACGATGCCGTTTTGTGTTAGGTCATTTTTTTTGAACCAGATTAGGTTAAAAAAAATTTTGCAGGAATTTTCCGATCGTTGTTGCACGAAGCTTGTGGGAGGATTGTGAATCCGATCTATGGTTCGGTGGGTTTGTTGTGGTCGGGGAATTGGCAGCTTTGTCAAGACGCCGTTGAGGCTGTGATGAAAGGAGAACCGATCAAAGAAATCGCCACAGACGCTGCGACGATCGGCCAAGGTCCGCCGCTTAAGATCTACGATATCCGACATATCTCCAAGGATGATAACTCCGCCGCCGCTGCGGCTACTGGCTCAACCGATTTGAAACGGGCGAAAACTCGCCGGGCTAAGCGGGTATCTACCGTCGAGAAACAGGCGGAATCGGAGGGAAAGTCCGGCGAAGCTAGTCACGAGTCGTCTTTGAGTCATCAGTCTGAAATAGTGGCTGCTCATGAAGGAGAGAGCAAGGAATCGGAGAGCAATGTCTCGGAGGTTTTGGCATTTTCGCCACCGACTGTGCAGGGCTCCGGCGAGATAAAGCTTGACCTAACTTTAGGGCTCGAGCCGGTGTCACGTGCGTATCATGTGGTACCTGTAAAGAAGAGAAGAATGGGCGTGTTTGGCACGTGTCAGAAGGAGAGCACGTGTAAGACTGAGCTAATGCTTTGAGCTCCGTTGTAGCTTGCCTCAGAAGTTTTGCCCCAATCAGCTCTATTCGGCTCGGCTATGATGATCGTCAAAGTCGAGCCGATAACTTTCTAAATATATTTTCTCTATTTTCCCCTTTTAATTTTCACTTTCCGTTGTGACCAAAGAATAGAGTATATGTACAAACTTATTTACAGAGATTAATTCAAGAATTGGCCTAGATGTTATTAATTTCTTTTCTTTACGAATAAAAGCAAAAAATAAAAACCGTAAACCAAAGACTCAAAGAGGGTTGATTTATTTGAAAGTATCATGGGCCTATCTGCTTTCGTTTAAGTGACATTTTGAGCTTATCTTTTCAAGACTGTATTGAGGAAAATGTCAACACTACGTGGCATATTTTAATTGGATGAATGACGGCTGACCTGGCAGAGCTGAAAGCACAAGCCATGTGCTTCGGCCACAATCCAGTGGGAGATATCGAGGGAACGCAAAGGTAGGGGCCAGATTCTGTAGTACCCTCTTCACCTACCTACTCTCTTTCTCGAATTTATTTGCCGGCGGCGATCAATCCGAACGGGATTTTAGCAGGAGTAGTCGGTCACTGGGAAGGGAATTTGGCCGGTGAGAGAAGATGAAGATATTTGTGAAAACTCTCAAGGGGACTCACTTTGAGATCGAAGTAAAACTAGAGGATTCGGTATGCGAATTTCTACAGATAGTTTCCTTACTTGTTAATTGAGACGGTTGAATTTTAAGTATCCGAGCTGGTTTTCTCAATTAAATTTGTCGATCGAGTATAATATTTGATTTGGTCGAGTTTAGGGGTTTCTCTGTTTTTTACATTCCTTCGTGATCTGAGAGTATGTTCCTGTAAGTGGACTGTGGTAATTTGAAGGTTTCTAAAGAGAATTTATACAATTCAGCAATCTTTGTCTATGGGATTGCGGTTTCCATCTCTTTTTTTTTTTATTTTATTTCGTGAATGCATTTCTGATGGTTGTAGATGTAACTGACATTTTTTAGTTTTCAATGCATTTGACTATATTTTCTTAGACTTATGCTGGTAAAATATATACATTCAGGTTGCTGATGTGAAGAAGAACATAGAGACTGTGCAGGGCGCAGATGTATATCCTGCTGCAAAACAGATGCTTATTCACCAAGGTAAAGTGCTTAAAGATGAGACTACTATTGAGGAAAACAAAGTTGCTGAGAACAGTTTTATTGTCGTAATGCTGAACAAGGTGCGTTTTGGATCTGGGGGATTAAAGTAATTCTGTTGTTTTCTGTTTAGCTCTTTGATTACCCGATTCTGATTTATGATCGATCTGTGGTGCTAAACATGTAATAGAGTAAACCTGCTTCTACTGGAGCATCTAGTGCATCTGCTGGCACTTCGCAGGTGAGTTGGTTCTGTTGTTATAGCATCATTGTAAAGGCTGAGATACTGCAACATGGGATTTTGGAAAATTATTGCCTACGAAAGTGTCAAAGCTTCTCTATATTTTCTTTTTTTGTTGAATGATCTAACTTTGGTGTTGGTTTAGGCCAAGTCGACACCTCCCTCAACATCACAACCTTCAATTTCCCCTCAGACTCCAGCTTCTGTAGCAGCGTGAGTTTTCGAGACAAGTACTTTCTGTTTGAAAAGTTCCTAGAATCTATCTGAAAAAACTATGGCTCCATTCTATACTAAAACTAATTTTCAATCCTTTGCCCCCAATTCGAAAACTGTGCAGACCAGTGGCACCTGCACCGACACGTGCGCCACCACCTGCCCCGACACCTGCACCTGTAGCTGCAACTGAAACTGTGACTACACCTATACCTGAACCTGTACCTGCTACTATACCATCAAGCACTCCTGCACCAGACTCAGCTCCTGCGGGGTTAGCATCTCGTCTTAATCTTCTGCTCAGCTCAGAGATTGACCTTCTCTTATTTTGTTTCCTATTTGTTTGGTTGAGATAGAAGTCAAGGTGATGTTTACGGACAAGCAGCATCAAATCTAGCCGCTGGAAGTAATTTAGAGAGTACCATTCAGCAGATTCTTGACATGGGTGGAGGAACCTGGGATCGTGAGACTGTTGTCCGTGCACTTCGTGCTGCATTTAACAACCCCGAAAGAGCTGTGGAATATCTTTATACTGTGAGTCAATTATATTCTATGAATTTGCGTCCCTTCATGCAGCTTTGTCTAAGAGGCAGATTTTGGTCACTAATCAATCACTATGCCTAGAATATATTTCCTTTCCATTATTATTGGCTACCTACTATTCTCATTGTCACTAAAGTGAGAGAATATATATTTTATTTTTTTGAGCAAACAGAGAATATATACTTAAACACCGAAATATATGTCTTAGGGGATCCCTGAGCAAGCTGAAGTTCCACCAGTTGCCCGTGCTCCAGCTAGTTTTGGACAGCCTGCAAATCCTTCAGCACAGACTCAACAACCTGCAGCAGCACCTGCAAGTGGTCCTAATGCAAATCCGTTAGATCTCTTCCCGCAGGTAATACACCTTAAGATAGAATGCAGATTTGGTTCATTTAAACTCTGATTATATATGGGTGTGCAACTAAAATCTGCTCTTTATCTTTGACAGGGCTTGCCAAATGTTGGAGGAAATCCTGGTGCTGGAACACTTGACTTCTTGCGCAACAGCCAACAGGTATAAGCTGTTTTTTCTTTTGTACACTTGCTTACAAAAAGAGTATATCAGACATCAATGTGTAACGTAGATACTATTATTGTATATATTAGTTCCAAGCTCTGCGAGCAATGGTGCAAGCAAACCCTCAAGTTCTGCAGGTATGCTGATCTAATTCAAAGAAGAACTGAAATCATTGTCGGTTTTCCTTAAATATCGTTTCAAATGATTTTGTTCATGCGTTTTTTCTTCAGCCCATGCTTCAGGAACTGGGAAAGCAGAACCCAAACTTGATGCGGTTGATTCAAGACCACCAAGCTGACTTCTTACGCTTAATCAATGAACCCGTTGAAGGAGGGGGAGAAAGGTATGCATAATCCTGGCGCTACTATGATGATTTTACGATCATGATTCATATGTAACATATGTATGAACACCAAAACGTTGGGAGGCTTTTGATTACCTAAACAGTGATTCTTTTCTTGGATAATTTGTTGTGCATTGTGTAATTCAGTGGCAACCTCCTTGGCCAAATGGCAGCGGGAATGCCACAGCCACAGGCGATTCAAGTCACACCTGAGGAACGCGAAGCAATTGAACGGGTATGTTCCTTATTTTCTCTCTCTTTTTTTCACTTCTAGAACTTTGATCTTTCCTCTAAAGAAGAAAGTTTGTATCACTCTTTATGATCCATGAACTTCGGTTTCACATTGATTATAAAAAAAAAACAGCTTGAAGCGATGGGATTTGACAGAGCATTGGTGTTGGAAGTGTTCTTTGCGTGCAACAAGAATGAAGAGTTGGCTGCAAACTATCTTCTAGATCACATGCATGAGTTCGAGGAATAACCTTCTTCAGTTTACTTTACCTACTCTCTATCTTTCCCATTGGTCCATATGTGTTACCTATATATTTGTGGGTGCCAAGTGCATGATCTCGTCACTTAGTCCATGTTCATGGCTCAGTTCTCGGTTTAAAATGGAGTTTCTCGTCTGCTCTTTCTTTGTATTGTCGTTGATCGTCCTTAGTCCTTACAAAATCTCCGGTTCCAGTTATTTTTGTCAAATTGGGGACATTTATTGATTATGTATTGTTATGTGCCTAAATAGTAAAAGTGAAAAATGGAAAATGAAAAAACAACAAATAAACTCGATAATCTTGTTAACGTTTCTTTTGTATGTCTGTATAATATTTAGTTTTAATTTTTTCTAATGCTAGTTCTTATTTCTAAATTCTAATGTAAGTTATCTTCGCGAGGGTGATTATTTTGTTGAATACCTTACCAGAAAGTGACTGTGGTCTTCAATGGAATATTTTTTAGGGAAAGTTAAAAGTCTAATCCCAGAACTTGTAAAATTCGAAGTCTCTGGCCCAGGTAGAGAGTTTGTCCGCCTCCTGAGTCCTGACAATGCGACGTCGTTTAATGGGCCAATGGATGCTTTAAGATGCTTCTTTTCCCTCACATCGTCGTCCTCTGAGCCCTCACTGAAATTTAAAAGAAGTAAAAGAGAGAAGCTCCCAGAGAAGAAAAGAAAGCCCTAGAAAGCCCTAATCCCAGTTTCTTTCGATCTCTCATCATCGAAAATGTCTGTGCGTGTTCTGAATCCTAATGCTGAGGTGCTCAACAAATCGGCCGCGCTTCATATGACCATCAACGCCGCCAAGGGTTTACAGGATGTACTCAAGTCGAATCTCGGTCCTAAGGGAACTATTAAGATGTAAGTCTCTTCACTCTTGCTGGATCTATTATTTATTCGTCTCTTCACTTGTTGCTGATTTTCATACTATTTTATCGGTGTTTAGGCTTGTTGGTGGTTCCGGGGATATCAAGCTTACCAAGGATGGCAACACGCTTTTGAAGGAAATGGTAAGTCCCATAGAGTAAAAATATTGGTAGATCTTTTTTTGGTATGGAAAAAGGGTAGATCTCGTTGACCGATTAGAATAATTTTAGCTTAAATGTCTCTTCTTACTTGTGAAGTGTGTTCAGAAGCTTGTAAAACGCTAGAATTGTAGCTATTTATTTGGTTTTAGAAATTGAATTTGGTATGTTTTTTTCCGAATACATGTAAAAACCCTTCTTAGGTTAGAAATGATAGACACAAATCTTTAGACTATCCTACTCTAATGGATGACACTCAACTGGTCTGATGATCCTAACAGTTCTCACTTGCTTTTCTTTTCAGCAAATTCAAAATCCAACAGCCATCATGATTGCCAGGACAGCTGTTGCTCAGGATGACATAAGTGGTGATGGTACTACTTCCACTGTCATCTTCATTGGTGAGCTTATGAAGCAGTCGGAGCGTTGCATCGATGAAGGTTAGCCAAACTAGCTTTTCTCTGCATTATGCTTTGATTTGTTGATGACTTGGGTAGTTTTATGCTTCTCTATGTCTGTTTTTTGACAATTATACTACTGGATCTGATGCCATTCATTTTCTGTATCTGTTTGTCATGCTTAACATTTGGTACTTTTCTTTGTCAGCTACCTTGTCATGTTTTGGTTTATCTCAGTGAGATATGGTCCTAATGAAAGGTTTATATATGTCTCAGGAATGCATCCACGAGTCTTAGTTGATGGTTTCGAGATTGCGAAAAGAGCTACTCTCCAATTTCTCGACACTTTCAAGACACCTGTGGTTATGGGTGATGAGCCTGACAAAGAGATCCTGAAAATGGTTGCCAGGACAACGCTAAGAACAAAGGTATTCTTTGTTTGCTGATATCTATATCTTTTTGTTATCACCGACTCTTCTCTTCGCTTTCTGACTGTTTTTTTCTGGCTTACTTAGCTGTATGAAGGCTTAGCTGATCAACTGACTGATATTGTTGTTAATTCGGTAAGTTTACTGATAGCTCTCATTGAGTATCATCATGCTTTTTCACATATATGAGAACTAATATATGGATCAATTTCGGTTTGCATTTAACAGGTTCTCTGCATTCGGAAGCCTGAGGAACCTATTGATCTGTTTATGGTTGAGATTATGCACATGCGCCATAAATTTGATGTTGACACACGATTGGTATGCCTTTGTCTACAGTAAATTTCTTCAGTCGGAATATAAGGATTTTTACACTAGTAAAATGACTTTTGTATGTGATTAAAATCTTTTTACTGGTCGTGAATCATAAATGTCATCTTTATGCACTCGTTGTGAATATAACATGGATTATTTCTCTTGTATTAGGTTGAGGGGCTTGTTCTTGATCATGGTTCAAGACACCCTGACATGAAGCGACGTGCGGAGAATTGTCACATCTTGACTTGCAATGTGTCATTAGAGTATGAGAAGAGGTACGTAAGACAAATCTCTGGTTGATTGGTTGAAGAGATATGAAAGACTATAATTTAGAAGAACTATCCCGTGTATCAGTGATTGTGTAGCCTAACTTTGTATATATATCAGTGAAATTAATGCAGGATTCTTTTACTCAAATGCGGAACAGAGGGAAGCCATGGTTACTGCTGAGCGACGTTCCGTTGATGAAAGAGTTCAGAAAATTATTGAGCTGAAGAACAAGGTGAGTTTGAAACTACTAGCTCCAAGCTATATGCTGTATTCTTTCAGATAATTATTTATATTTTCTATTTCTCATGCAGGTTTGTGCTGGTAATGATAACAGCTTTGTTGTCCTAAATCAAAAGGGTATTGATCCCCCGTCATTGGATCTTCTTGCTAGAGAAGGGGTAAGCTATGATTGGCTTTGTATTTTTGGCATCTGATGCAGAAAAGCATGAAAAAATCTATAAGAAGATTGTGAAATCAAGTGAACTGAAATTTAAACCAAGTAGAGAAAAGGTTATCCACTAAGAGTATTCACCTAGAATCTCTTAAATGCCTGGATCTTCCACTAAGCTTGTCTCTTGTCTTGTACTCTGCTTCTGGTGTCTACAAGTTGTTACAATCGAATTATCATTCTGTTTCCTTATATATTTTTATATGTATCTCCAGATAATCGCTCTTAGAAGAGCAAAGAGGAGGAACATGGAACGTTTGGTTTTGGCATGTGGTGGAGAAGCTGTGAACTCCGTTGATGACTTGACCCCTGATTCTCTTGGTTGGGCTGGACTTGTATATGAGCACGTTCTTGGAGAGGAGAAGTACACATTTGTCGAGCAAGTGAAGAATCCTCATTCATGTACTATCCTCATAAAAGGTACAAAGTCCCAGACTTCTCTCTCTTGAGTCTTGTCAGCTAAGTTTTGAAGGTCAATTTTACTTATCTTTATATGTGTGGCCATCGATTATCTATGATTTTCTTTTCTTATAGGGCCTAACGACCACACAATTGCTCAAATTAAGGACGCTGTCCGTGATGGTTTAAGATCAGTTAAGAATACCCTAGAAGATGAGTGTGTCGTATTAGTAAGTACCTTCTTCTTCACAAAGATCAAATATATTACTACTTCAGTGTGATTGTTTTGCTTTTGGGCGCTTGTGGTTTATTGACATCTGTCTCTTTATGTAGGGAGCTGGAGCTTTTGAAGTTGCAGCAAGACAACACTTAATCAATGAAGTCAAGAAAACCGTTCAAGGGGTAAGTAGAAAGCAATATCCCTCTGCTCCAATACCAATTCTTGTTTTTTCCGGTTGCTAATTTTAATTGTGGGCAAATTGCAGCGCGCTCAACTCGGTGTTGAAGCTTTTGCTAATGCCCTTCTCGTGGTGCCTAAGACACTTGCTGAAAATGCTGGGCTTGACACTCAAGACGTTATCATTTCTCTAACGGTATTATACTTGTATTTTCCTCTTCTGCCATTATGGATTATGCTCCAATAAAAATTATGTTTGGGTTTATTTACTGAATTCCGATGTTTATACAGAGTGAGCATGACAAAGGAAACGTTGTGGGACTAAACCTACAGGATGGAGAACCAGTCGACCCTCAGCTTGCCGGTATTTTCGACAATTACTCGGTGAAACGCCAACTTATCAATTCAGGGTATGTGCAGAACCAAATGGGAAATTTGTAAACGCAAGTGCTAAAATTGACATTTAAAATAATGGTGTCTTTAATTAAGTTGCGGTTGAGTTCAGGCAGTTAAAACGGTTGTTTGGTAATGTGTTGCAGGCCGGTGATTGCTTCGCAGTTGCTATTAGTGGATGAAGTGATTCGTGCAGGAAGAAATATGAGGAAGCCTACTTAAGAAACTGTTACTACTTTTTGTTTGCTTTTCCTTTCGTGTTTTAAGCATTAGCATATGAATTTTATTTCAATTTTACTTGTTATCTTTTTGTTGTCATAGATAATTTTGAATGTATCTTTTTTTTTTAATCTTTTGTATCAGACAGACATGGTGAATGTTTTCATTATGGTTTCTATTGAAAAAAGAAAAAGATTCGAAAGTTTCATGAAGATGGAACCAGATTTATTTGTAAACACAATTAAAAGTCAAATTACCAAACAATGCACGGCATATACTTTATAATGATTTTTATATTCTAGAAAAGGAATCAGGGCCCAAGGAACACGATTATTAAAGTCTTTGACGGGTCAACACCGTTAGACAGATGTCATACTACAATTGGGCCTTATTTTTCTCTTTACTTTCTCTGAAAATCAAAGCCCATCTCTTCTTCTTTTTTCCCCCTAATTTCTCACTTCCCCCTCCTTTCGCGTCTCGAGCTTCGAATTCGACAAATCCCTAATTCCAAAATCCTCTCGGTAAGCTACGGATCTGGTCTCTCTTTGCTGATTGTTCGACGAGTCGTTTCTTTATTGCTCGTTGATGTTTTCGCTTCGTTTTGTGGACTTCGAATCTTGTCTGTGTTCGTTGTTATCTCGAGATCTGGCATAATCTGGAATGATTTCGATCGATTCTAGTTTTTTCTTTTTCTTGTTTGTTCCTGCGTTTATCTGTCGGTATACTGTTCGTTTTGTCTTTGATTTGTTGGTCTCGAGGATTGATCTGTGCGAGAAATATGGTGACAAACACGAAACTGTTGTGTCTTTTGTTGGCAATAACGTTGAAACCACTGTGATGTTGATGAAGTTTGAAATGTTTTTTTGATAACAGAAGATGTCGTCTTCTCGGGAAGAGAATGTGTACTTAGCCAAGTTAGCTGAGCAAGCTGAACGTTATGAGGAAATGGTTGAATTCATGGAGAAAGTTGCAAAGACTGTTGACACCGATGAGCTTACTGTCGAAGAGCGAAACCTCTTGTCTGTTGCCTACAAGAACGTCATTGGTGCTAGGAGAGCTTCCTGGAGGATCATATCTTCCATTGAACAGAAGGAAGAAAGCAGAGGAAACGATGATCATGTTTCCATTATCAAGGACTACAGAGGGAAGATCGAAACCGAGCTCAGCAAAATCTGTGATGGAATACTCAATCTTCTGGATTCTCACCTTGTTCCCACTGCATCTTTGGCTGAGTCCAAAGTCTTTTACCTCAAAATGAAAGGAGATTACCACAGGTACCTTGCTGAGTTTAAGACTGGTGCTGAGAGGAAGGAATCTGCAGAGAGCACTCTGGTTGCTTACAAGTCAGCTCAGGTAAACTCTTTAACTTTGAACATCTATCTACCTTATTTTGCTGCTTGAGACCAGTAAAGGGGCTATCTTGATGAATTCTTTTATGTGTGTTTTTTCGTCCAATGTAGGATATTGCACTTGCTGATTTAGCTCCTACTCATCCGATTAGATTGGGACTTGCTCTTAACTTCTCTGTCTTCTACTACGAGATTCTCAACTCACCTGATCGTGCCTGCAGTCTCGCAAAACAGGTTTGTGTTTTGTCCTACGGGATGTTATGATGCTTCCAGACTTTGTAACACTTGTTCTAGCACCAAACTGCTTAATGATTTTTCCTCAATTGTTTTCATAGGCTTTTGATGAGGCCATCTCTGAGCTTGACACATTAGGAGAAGAATCATACAAAGACAGTACACTGATAATGCAACTTCTCCGTGACAATCTGACCCTATGGAATTCTGACATCAATGTACACCTTTGTCTCCCTCCTTTTTTCTCCCTTTAAACACTCAATTATGCAGTCTAAGCTTCTTTTACTCAGAGATTTCTGTTGCTCATTTTCAGGATGAGGCGGGCGGTGATGAGATCAAGGGGGCCTCAAAACATGAGCCGGAAGAAGGGAAACCAGCAGAGACAGGGCAGTGACCAGAGAGAGAGGGAGAGACATTTCTTAGTATGTGTGGTACGGATTTTCCAAAAAACATATGATGATTATGGGATTTGTAGAAGCAGAGAGAAAGATCATTATTTGATTTTCTCCTTGAAAACTCAAAAAACTCTGTTCTCTTTTTTTTTTAATGGGTTTTAAAGCTGTTGAGTCTTTGATTCCGTCTTCGTTGCTTGTTAGTAATTACTAATTAGGAAGTGAAGAAACAAAACTTAGAATTATTGCTTTGGATTCAACTCGTCTAAGATTATCATTAAGGGTATCAGTGTATAATTTACTTATTTTTTAATCAGAGTATTATGATTTTTTTTCTTAACGCATCAAAATTTTAACCCATCTTGAGAGCAAAATCAAAGTCTTAAGAAGAAAAAGCTTTAAACTTTGAAATTTTTTGTTCATAGCAGAGACAATTCAACACTCATGTCTTTTTCCGTACATTTAATTTAGTTCTCTTTCCTTATTTATCCTTTCTGTTTTTTTTTTTTTTTGACATATTATCCTTTTTCTGTTGTTCCATTTTTATTCATGTTTTCCATATGTGTATTTGTATAAGAAGATTTTTATTCAACTAACAGTCATAAAATTTGAAATTGTTATCTCGTCAAGTATCTTTAATCTACTGTAAACTTAAAATTAACTCCAAACACACATTTGCAAAATCAGTAATTTTTTTGAGCATAATATAGAAATACGAATATACGGAAATCAATGTATTGAGCGTCTTAAGTAATTAGGAATATTATTAATTAAGTAAATAAACACATACACACTTAACATAAAAACACATCGCTATTATTATTACCACCCCCCCCCCCTCGAATCCCACTGCTTTGCTTTTGCGCTTGTCTCTGTGCATTCACCTTCTCTCTCTCTCTCCTCTCTCTTTCTTTCTCTCTCTCTAATGGTTTCAGCTACTTCAATCATAGCCTGGTCCAAAATACTCTTCTCTTCACTTCTCTCTACTTATCACAGTTTCGATTTTTCACCTACTCTTTTTTAAACCTCGGCCTCTCTCGCTCTCTTACCATCTTCTGTCTGCTTTTCAGGGGTTCTGGAGAAGATGGGCAACTAGGAATTGGTACCAACGAAGAAAAGGAATGGGCTTGCGTCGTTGAAGCTCTCGAGCCTTACTCTGTTCGCTCAGTTGTCTCTGGTAGCCGGAACTCCCTCGCCATTTGCGATGATGGCACGGTACTATCCGATATCATTGTCTTGTTTTGATTGGTCTCTATGCATTTGGGGAGATGATTAATATCTGTTATAGGCAAAAAATGGAGACCTTTTTTAATTTTGTTTTGTTAATTCTTGTAAGATTTGAAGGAACCAATAAACATTGTTTGTCTTATCATTCATAACCAACGAAGCTTTGTGCTTCTTATCTTGTGGGAAAATTCTCTAAGTTGAGAATCTTGATTACAAGTTAGCCAATAGCTCAAAGTTGTTTTCTTGAACAGGTTTTGGTTGTGTTATCATGGAATTGGTCTTGGTCTGGTCCTTATTTCAGTAGTTTGATGACTAACTAAATGGTTTAAAATTCACAAATAAGATATTAAAAGCTCTTTTTCACCAGAATTTGTTTCGGTTCTTTAAACTGGGTCTCAGATGTTTACATGGGGTTGGAATCAAAGAGGTACATTAGGACACCCACCAGAAACAAAAACAGAGAACATCCCTAGTCGAGTTAAAGCCCTTGCCAATGTCAAGATCACTCAGGTTTGATCTTTCTTTCTACTAATCCATTGTTCTATTCGTTAGATTATCATATTGAACTACTGGTTTTACCTTTGAATATGTTCTTTTGGAATGGATGGTAGGCAGCAATTGGTGGTTGGCATTGTTTAGCTGTTGATGATCAAGGCCGAGCATATGCGTGGGGTAAGAGAATGCCTGTGTTCTTGTTTCATTCTCTATCTGATTTGCTTGGTGAATCGTATTGAAATTGATTATGGAATGCACATAGGTGGGAATGAATATGGACAATGTGGTGAAGAGCCTTTAAAAGACGAGATGGGTAGGCCCGTACGGAGAGATATTGTGATCCCTAAGCGTTGTGCCCCGAAACTTACAGTTCGTCAGGTATACTTGCTCGTCTTCTAATTCTAAATCTCTCTGCATTGCCTCAAAATATAATCTGTGTCCATCACCTTTCTCTTCTACTCCTCAATGTTGAGGTCTAAACTTCTTTAACAGGTAGCTGCAGGTGGTACTCACTCGGTGGTTCTGACACGCGAAGGTCATGTGTGGACTTGGGGTCAACCGTGGCCTCCCGGAGACATGTATAAAGAACGATTAAACTCAAACAATGGTATACATTATGTGCGTTCGTAGACTTACTTAATATGTTGGGTTTGGTTTCCTCTAAATTTGCAGAAAACAAATATTTGTTCCTGTGAGAGTTCAAGGTCTTGAAAATGTCAGTATTATCGCTGTTGGAGCATTTCATAATCTGGCTCTTGAAGAAGATGGGAGATTATTGGCATGGGGTAATAACGAATACGGACAACTTGGAACCGGTGACACCCAGCCAACATCTCATCCTGTTCCAGTCCATGGCCTCGATGATCTCACTTTGGTTCGGCTTTTTTTTTCCTTTTCTACTTATTAAACCTTTGAAGAGTGATTTTGATTATAAGTTTTCAACTGACACAATAGTCTTCTGATGCTAAATCAACAAATGGCATAAGCTTTAACAATTTGTCCTTCGTTACATGATCTGTAGGTTGATATTGCTGCGGGTGGATGGCACTCAACGGCTTTAACTGATAAAGGAGAGGTATTAAATTTAGAATCCATTTTACTCTCAAAAATATTTTTTCTTTCCTTCTTATCTCACTGTGTGCTAGATCCTTTTTCCGTTATTATATTATGTGTTTGGTCTTCTAATTTGGAGGTGTATGGTTGGGGAAGAGGAGAACACGGAAGACTCGGGTTTGGTGACAATGACAAGAGCAGCAAAATGGTTCCACAGAAAGTTAATCTTCTAGCTGAAGAAGATATAATTCAGGTATTAAAGCGTTAAACTTCAATGATAGATCTCTGTTCTTTGCTGAAGAGAATATCACTCAGGTAAAGCATTTAACTTTAATAATCTTGAATTCTCTTCTTGCCAAAAAAATCAGGTTTCTTGTGGTGGAACACATTCAGTTGCTTTGACAAGAGATGGCAGAATCTTCTCGGTTAGTCCTTGAAACCAAGAAAACCGCTTTCGGGTTTTAGTTTGAAGCATTATGAAAAAACATTCATCCCTCTGATTATGTTTCTCTTTTTTGATCAGTTTGGTAGAGGAGATCATGGTAGACTTGGTTATGGAAGGAAAGTAACCACAGGACAGCCATTGGAGTTACCTATAATGATTCCTCCGCCTGAAGGAAGCTTTAATCACGCAGACGAAGAAGAAGAAGGAAAATGGTCAGCTAAATGGATCGCTTGCGGTGGCCGCCACACTCTTGCCATTGTAGAATGGAAGTCCGATGATATTTGATCCTCAATCTCACTGGTCACTGAACAACTTGAGAAGAGAAGAGAGCAATATGATTTATACCAAGGAAGGCAAAGGGAGAGTGTATTTATTAAAAAGAAAGAGCAAAAACATACTTGTTTCAAATTACTTTTTCCCTATAAATAATCTTTAGAAAAAAATAGTTTTGATTTCAAGGGAAAATAAAATTGCAAAGAATTTTGATCAGGGGATCTTGGTAGTGAAGACAGAACGTAAACAGAGAGAGAATGACAAAAAAGCTTTTAGCTTGTATATCTCAAGACTGCATCTTTTCTCATTAGTTAAGTTCAGGAGTACAATGCCTTACTTATATATAAAAGAGAGACAAAGGAGATTAGGGTTTTAGGAGTGCCAGCTCACTGATCCATATCCTTGAGAGAACTATATCTGTTTGTGAGCTGGATTGAACTAGGAGACAAAACTGTACTTGTTGTTGCAGAGGGAGCTCTGTTCTTGGTCAACATTACCGTTGGATTTGTTGACTGATCTTTGGGCTTCATGGGCCTTGCATTCTGATGGGTTTGTGTTATATTCTTTACATTCCCGCGCAAACTTGAGGTGGGAGAACGTCCAACTCCAAGTTTGAACCTGAGAGAGCAAAAACTATGTGGTGGCAGAGACTTTGTAAAGATGTCGGCCAGTTGATGCGCAGCTGGAACATGTTTTACCACAAGGGATCCATCTGCAACCTTTTCTCTAGCATAGTGGAAATGAGTTTCGAAATGTTTTGACCGTCTGTGTAACACCGGATTGGCTGTGAGATACACTGCTGACAGATTATCACAATATATCTCTGCAGGTCTGTCTTGTTGAATACCAATGTCTTTCAGAAGTGATGTGATCCAAGACAATTCTGCTGCTGTGTCTGAGAGAGCTCGATATTCAGCCTCTGTAGATGATCTTGCAACTGAATCCTGACGTTTTTCAGACCATGATATGAGATTCAAGCCTAGAAAGGTACAGAAACCTCCAGTGGACCGACGAGTGTCTGTACATCCTGCGTGATCACTGTCACTATAGGCTCTTAAGACTGAGTCTGTATCATTACTCAGAGTCAGCCCCATATCAATGGTTCCTTTTAGATACCTTAGTGTTCTTTTATGGAGAGCAAAGTCTGATACTGATGGCTTGTGCATTTTCTGACAAATGTAATTGACTGCAAATTGCATGTCTGGTCTTGTGAGAGTTAAATATTGTAGCTTCCCTGCAAGAGACCTGAAGTAAGAAGGGTCTTCAAATTCTACATCTTGATTGGGCATTCTATGCAGTTGGATGGGTAGAGGAGTGGGCATAGGAGCACAATTCAACATTCCTGCATTTTCAAGTAAGTCTCTAGCATACTTTTCTTGATTTAAAAACAGACCTTCTGGAGTGAATGTTGCTTGGATCCCGAGAAAATATTCCATGTCTCCCATATCTTTCATTCTGAATTCCTTCCTTAGAGAGATCAAGAGATCATTGATTAGAGCTTTGTCATTCCCTGTGAGGACCATATCATCAACGTAGAGCAACAAGAGCATGATACTTCTGTTTCGTCGATAAACAAACAAAGATGGATCTCTTGGGCTGCAGATAAAACCAAATTTCAGCAAGTATGAGCTAAATTTATCAAACCAAGCACGAGGGGCTTGTTTTAGGCCATAAATAGCCTTGTGGAGTCTGCAAACATAGTCCAGGTGAGTTTTATCTTCAAAGCCAGGCGGCTGTCTCATATACACCGTCTGTTGTAAGTCGCCGTGAAGGAAAGCATTCTTCACATCAAGTTGCTTAATGTCCCATTTCTCCACTGTTGCCACATGAAGGATCATCCTTACAGTTGGAGTCCTTACAACAGGGCTAAAAGTTTCAAGAAAATCAACTCCTTCCTCTTGTTCATAGCCTTTTGCTACTAGACGAGCCCGGAGTTTGTCTAGTGTACCATCAGCTTTAATCTTAGTCTTAAACACCCATTTGGAGCCTAATACATTTGCATTTGCAGGAGCGGGTTCAAGACTCCAAGTTTTGGTTTCATGACAAGTGTCTATTTCTTCAACCATGGCTCCATTCCAGCCATCATGCTTTAGTGCTGCAGTGATGGTTTTAGGTTCTTCAGGAAGACCAGTATTGGCGAGAAGAATGTACCTCGGGTTAGGTTTCACAATTCCGGATTTAGCTCTGGTGGTCATTTGATGAGCATTGCTGGTAGCATTTTGCGGAGACCCTAAAGGAGGGAAGTCTTCTTCTGTAAATAATGCTGAGTCTACAGATGAGGACGATGCCACTGTTGAATTTTCCTCTGTACTTGAGCCTGTTGCAGAATTTGACGTCTCAGGTTGCGATATAGGTGTGGGCTCAGTTGCTTGTGCGACAGTTTGATTCAGAACTAGTGGAGCTTGAGTGTGTGGAGTAGTGACTGCTTCAGTTCTGTTTTGTGAGATAGAAGACTGGACAGGGACTTCCACATCATAATTTTGTTCAGATGAACTTTGCTGCCAGGCTGATAACAGAGGAGTTGTAGCAGGTGGCAGAAAGGATCTGTAAGTATCCTTATATGGGAATCTTGCTTCATCAAAGAGAACATGCCTGCTAATGTAGACACGTCCAGTAGGTGGGTGAAAGCACCTGTACCCTTTGTATTTTTCATTGTATCCCACAAAGACACACAATAAGGATTTTGGATCGAGCTTGTTCTGAGCATAAGGGCGCAAATAAGGATAGCACGCGCAGCCAAAAACTCTTAAGGCAGTATATATTGGTGCTTTGTTGTTCAACATCTGATATGGGCTTATCATTGAGTCATGAACAGATGTTGGTAAGAGATTGCTCAGAAAATTTGCTGTAAATAGAGCTTCCACCCAGAGATGCTGTGGAAGATGGCCCTGAAACAGCATGGAGAGCCCTAGTTCAGTAATATGTTTATGTTTCCTCTCAGCAAGACCGTTTTGCTGTGGAGTATGTGGACAAGAGATGAGATGTTTGATCCCACACTGCGCAAAATGATCCAGGAATTGTTTGTTGACAAATTCTCCACCACCATCACTCTGAAACATTTTTATTCTCTGACCATATTGAGTCTCCACCAGCTTTTGAAAGGTTTTGAATATGGAAACAACATCAGACTTCAACTTTAGAGGATAAAACCAACTAAAACGAGAATAATTGTCAATGAAAACAACGTAATAACGAAATCCTTGGACTGACTTGACAGGAGAAGGACCCCATACATCACAATGCACTCTTTCAAGAGGCTTAGTAGCTTCAAAAACAGACTTAGAGAAAGGAAGTTTGCAGACTTTTCCTAACTGACAGGACTCACACATGGCCAATGTGTTTTTATTGACTGAAATAGCTTTGATAGACGACAGATGCTGAAGAACTTGATGGTGAGGATGCCCCAATCTTCTGTGCCAAGTCTCATCACTGGTACTCTGCTGCCTGGATGAGTAAAAAGCCGTAAACTGGGGATTCTCCAACCGATACAACCCTTCATGTTTGCTTCCCCGACTTAGAATTTGCTTTGTCTGTTTGTCCTTGATGTACACAGAGTTAGAATCAAAGATGAATTTACAAGGGTAATCATCAGTTAATTTAGACACAGAGAGTAGAGATTTAGTAATCTCTGGGCACACAAGAACATCTTTTAATTGTAGATTACCTGACATTGCTGGTAAGGGAATAGATCCAATGTGAGTAATGGGAAGGAAATCTCCATTACCAACAACTATCGCATCAGACCCCTCATAGTTTTGTACCTGATGCAGATTGTTTGGAGAATTTGTGACATGATATGTTGCAGCTGAGTCTGTAATCCATTCTCTGCCTCCATATTCTGTGTGATCAGACACTCTCATTGCAGCTAAAGCTTGAGGTAGTTCTTCTGGCTGGTAGTGCTGATCAAACCGTTTATAACACTTAGATGCTGCATGACCATACTTTCCACATATTTGGCAGGTTGGTCTTGAATCAGTGTAGGCGCCACCACCAGAGAATGAACCACGACCACTGTTGTTGCCAAATTGTTGGTAGAATCCTCTGCCTTGTGTGGAGTAGGAGTTTCTACCTCTGTAGCCACCTCTGTTCTGACCTCTTCCACGGTTAGAGTAACCGCCTCTATCAGTAAAGAAAGCTTGATGTGGAGTCACTTCAGGTAAAGAGTCATATTGCTGAAGTTTATCGTCAAATCCAGTGAGCTTAAAGAACACATCTTCAAGACATGGTCCAGGAAAGTGGTCCATAGAGTTTTCAATCACAGCAAAAACAGGCTGATATTCCCTTCCTAAACCATTCAGAACACCATAAATCTTTTCATGTTCAGAGAGAGGAGAACCAATAGAGTCCAGTTGGTCACAAATGGTTTTCATTTCAGACAAGTACTCAGACATAGATCTGTCTCCTTTCTTGGTTCCTTGCATTTTTCGCTGCAGATCTAGCTTTCTAGTGGCCGAAACCCTATTATACTTCTTGGAGAGGGAGAACCATACCTCATGTGACGATCTAAGGCCATAGACAGCCTTGAGAGCTTCCTCAGACAGAGATCCATAGAGCCAAGCCATCACATGTTGATCTTTTTGAAGCCACTTCAAGTACTCGGGGTTTGGAGCTTCAGTATTCTGGTCGCCGTTGGTAACCATGACTGTCATAGGCGGACGCAGAGCAGCTCCGGTAACAAATCCCAAAAGCATCTGACTTGAGAGAAATTGCTCGAACTGAAGTTTCCATAGCAGATAGTTGTTATCTTTGAGTTTGAGAGTTACACATTGATTGATAGTGAAAGTTGAAGGTGAGAAAGGATCGTTTTGAGCCTCCATAGCTCTGATACCATGAAGACAGAACGTAAACAGAGAGAGAATGACAAAAAAGCTTTTAGCTTGTATATCTCAAGACTGCATCTTTTCTCATTAGTTAAGTTCAGGAGTACAATGCCTTACTTATATATAAAAGAGAGACAAAGGAGATTAGGGTTTTAGGAGTGCCAGCTCACTGATCCATATCCTTGAGAGAACTATATCTGTTTGTGAGCTGGATTGAACTAGGAGACAAAACTGTACTTGTTGTTGCAGAGGGAGCTCTGTTCTTGGTCAACATTACCGTTGGATTTGTTGACTGATCTTTGGGCTTTATGGGCCTTGCATTCTGATGGGTTTGTGTTATATTCTTTACAGGTAGACTTAGTTTCTTGAAAACCTTGAACAAAAGTTTGTGTTTCACAATCTTTTAAATCAAAAAAAAAAAAAAAAATTGTATCATGTGCCAATAAAAATTATATGATCAGGACATCCATATTATATAAATACAAGCAAAAGAAAGAAGTATGATCTTGCAAACATTGCTCCATTATTGGGTAACCAAAATCTCAAAATTATTGGTTTGAATCTCAAGAAGCTTTGAAAAGATGAGGAAGACAAATGAGAAATATGCATTTGGATGTTCTTGGTTGTTTTTGCATTTTCTTTTTCCATGACATTGAGAAACACCCACTTCCTCTTTTCTTTTCTTCTCGAATTTCTTTTGTCATCATATTTTGCTCCTTTTCTTCTAACTTCACATCCTTCAAACCCCAAAAACATAAGTAACTATTTTTCAAAAAGTTAATTGGTTGAATAGTTCAACCAGTGATATATATACAAACGTGCACATATATAATTAGCATTTTCAAACCTGGACTATACACAAAATCATAACATGGGGTCCAATGAAGATTTTTCATGAAATAATTGTAACATCGAAGTTGGATGATACTGTTTTGTTTTCTATGATGGATACTACTATCACGTATCGTATGACCATTTGTCCTCTTTAATCAAAATATCATGGAAGAAGCTAAATCTTAACAAGGATACAATATTATATGTATAAACAAACAAAACTTGGAGTCATATCATTGTCTCTTCTATGATTAAAAAGAACATTATACACTGCACATTTATGTATTTGTGTTTTCTCGTATTTTGTGTAAGAATCTAATTGCACAAACGAATGCAAAGTTTATGCAATTATTACGTACGTACCTTTGCATGATTTCAATTCTTTTAAATCGCCCAATGCAAAATCGTACCAAAATTGATAATCATTGTTAGAAGTTAATATATTGTTCTCATAGGGCCATAACTAATGAGTAATATGTCCTTTCAAAATTTAATTCAAACATAAAAATACCTAGTATACATAACTTATATGTAACGAATACTGTCATATTTTTTACCCATTTTTCACAATATGCTAAAACCAGGAATTATTAATTAGAGCAAAAATTGTATATCATGTTACCTCTTGTTGAGCTTTCAACTTTAGTGCATACTCAACATGCGAATCATCAGCTTCCACCTGTCTTTTCGTCGATCTCTCCATGATCGGCGTCGTCTTCACTGCACTAACATTTTCCGGTGCACTAACGACATCTCGTTTTGACCCCACAACTTTTTTTTCTGCTAAAAAAACCCTCAAACTCTTTTTAGTTACAAATAAACCCAAAACACAAAACCACCTTTATGAAATCGTTAACAATCACCTTGAATAAGAACAGGATCGGGAGTTTTAGGATCCTCGTGGATGATTCTTGGAATGTTGGGATTAGGATTAGAAGGTAAAATCATGAGTGGAGCATGCTTGGTGGATAAGTTTCTAAAAGATCTTGAATTTAGGGTTTTAGAAGACAAACACTCCAAAGGAACTTCACCAGACAAAGGATTGCAAATATACTTCTCTGCTTCGTTCCATTTCGAGTTTAGCTCAACTCCTTCTGGTTTCAACCAATCCCAATTCTTCTTGTACACTGTTTTTTCTTGCAATGCTGTGTAAGCAAATAAAACGACAGAACAAACAAAAAGGTTATTATATTTTTTCTCTGTTCTTGTTCATAATCATAACAGAGCTTCTTTTTATTGTTATCAATGAATATAAACAAACTAATAAAGTGTAATATAATGAGGTAGTTGTTGATTCAAATTTCAAGAAACGGTTATCGAAACGTGATGATTTTGTCACAAATGTCTTTTTGGCAACAAATTTCTACACTATACGAAGTAGCACCGAATTTATTGGTTAGACATTGAAATTGGCAAATTTTTAGAATCATATAGGTCGAAATTCTCTTAAGATTCAATCTTTGAGAATCATGAAAAGCTTAGTATTATTATATATATATTTTTAGAAGAAACTTACCCTTGAGTGCACTAGTGAAGGAATAATTTGATGGGTCAATCTCATCTGTCACAAAAATTCAAATTTCAAAACATATTTCTAAGAAACAATTAGCATTAAAAGCGGTTATTATATATTTATCACCTTTGAGCGAGTAACCGGGAGAAGAGGCAGTACTAGAGATGGTGAAGTTTGTTGTACAGGACGTCGACTTGTGGTCCTCTCGGAAGCTTCGGATACAAGAGGCAGAGAACCTTCTAGAACTTTGATCTTCGCGAGTTAAATGGCCTTTTCGTGCCCATTCTCTTAGGTTAAACTCAAGCTCTTCGCCACGCAAAACCATTTGAAATGAATGTTTGTTATGAAAGAGCCAAGGTAAAGCTAAGGATGATGGAGAGAGGGAAGAAATGTACCTTTAAATTCTAAAGGGATGGTTGAATTTTTTTATTTCTTTAAAATATTGACTTTTTTTTTAGTACTTCTCTCATCTTTAATTTTGTTTCATTATATTGGGTATTTTCAAATAAGTTATCTCGAAAGTTTGTAAGATAGTATATGTTGAATCTTAATTGGATGACTGACATATATTAAAAACATCTCACAATAAAGTTTTAACTTTTTTTTTGTCTTTTGTTTTTTGGTTGTAATCCATATATAGGAAACAAATTCACTTGGCATGTTCCATTTTTTTCTCGAAAGGTTATGATCAATTAGTTCTAGTTTCTTTTTCATGTTTTTAATTTGTATAGTGACAGTTAAAAATAATGGAATTGATTATCTGGACAAGAATGATTGATTTAACATATTTGGCTATTTCTTCCTGTATTTCAAAAAAAAAGGATTTTCAGATAAGAAAATTAATAATTCTCAAATGTGAAAATTTAAAAATCTTATATATTTTTAAAAATGAATGAATAAAATTTTACAAGTATAAGATGCATGTATCTGAAATAAGTCATCTGACTGAAACCATTATCTACTAACTTTTCCGATGTAGATCTCAGTGTTGGGGTATATATCATCGATCCCCTTTATTTAACTCCAGAGTCTTCAAAAGTTTTAATCGTGAACAGCATCAATTTCAGCTCACGAGGCTTCATCATCATCTGGAGAACTCTTTACCATTTAACGACCATCCAACACTGTAAAACAACGAATTTTGATACCAAAATAACCTCGAAGCTGATATATATAAATTACCAGACACCAAACAAACCCGCTTACCCGATTTCGAATTTGCTTCAAACATACGTTTGTCAAATAGATCTCACCACTTGTAAAGAAACCAAAATCATGTCTTAGCTGCTTTCAGGATATTGCATATGCGTACAAGCTTCCTGCCAAAAGAGTTAAAAACATTTCGAGTTTAGCGGTTTTGTTTTCTGCAAAGGATGTTTCTACTGGAATCAGAACATCAAGAAACTTACGTAGCCCGAGAATCAGAGCACCGTTTCCCCCAAGAGGAACAAGATCCTGAATCTTTTCTGGAGAGAAAATTGTATGTGTTACTGCACCATAATCCGAGCTTTGTATAGGTGGTCTTTCCTCCCTTATTTTCTTATCTTCATCTTTCTCTTTGCTGGTAGTTTCTTCATCAGAAATTGTCACCCTATGCACGGAATAATCTCCGTCTGAAATCCAAAAGCTTTTCGTTCCTGCAGTGGCCAAAGACCATACAATTGCTTTAAAATAAGGAAGTTTCGATATCAAATGCGTCAAAATAAAAATCCCTTTAAAACCGCAGAGCCGAGGAGTATTTTTTACCAACAGAGATTTCAGGAAGAAGGGCTAATTTCTGGACATCCATAAAGCGAGGCAACTGCTGCATATCACAAGTAAAGTTTGATCCGAGAGAATGACGACCAGATACATGCAATACATGTATATACCCGGCAGAGTCCAAGATCAAGAACCTTTTAATGGACAATGCTTGGATAGATATCGCCCTAAGAGACATGACCACACATGTTTCTGATTTCAGATCAGCGCCAACAGCAGCAGCATTTTTCTGAAACGACACAAAGCACATTCTTGTTTCAGAAGATCCTTGTCTCCGTTTACTTAACAACCCCTTGTTCACTGCAACTGGTAACAGGCAAACTTAAAAATATGAATGCTACTACAACTGCAACATTAAAGGCATTACCAAGAAGCAAAATTTACGAAGAATCAGCTCTGGATAACAAACCTAATGTCCATTTTTAACATTTTTCAACCTAGAGTTACCACAGAAATTGCCTTTTTTAACTCTATCTTAAGCACATTGTACCACCAAATCCTTAAATCTGCGCTTCCTCAATAAGGCAATCACATATATAGATACCATTCAAAATCATGATCATTCACATTATATATCACCAAAAACATAACCTTAATAAGATTATCCAAATCTACAAAGCACCACAAGTAACTACCTCTATAGACTTACCATGAACAGCATTTTCCTTCTTCTTCACTTCTACTATGTGCCCATTACGCAATCTCCCATTGTCTTTCCTCCCTTTCTTCAATCTTCCTTTGACTATCTCTCTCAGATTTAAAACCCTAACTCCATCATCTTCCCCCAAAATCAACAAACCCGAGAAAATCCCAATCGACCAAACCGGTCTAACACATTCAATCTCACCACATCTTACCAGCTTCACAACCACTGCATCATCATCTCCACAATTGCTGCCATCAGTCACAACCTTGAGACCAAAGATGAGTATTTTCGAGCTAGAAACCGAATACATTGAGAAGTAATTGGTCGAGCCAACGATTTTAACCGAAACACCGTGGCTTAAATTCAACAAAACCCCAACTTTCTGATCGAATTCGATACCCTTTTGATCACAAATCACTTTGGCTCTCACAAAGCCTTTGTTTTTCCCTTCCCGTAAACCATAGAACCTGAGAAGAAGACGAGACCCACCACGATAAGGACCAGCAACGATAAAGAAGACACGTGGGGAGGCTTCGTTACCGGAATCGTCGTTGGAGTTAGGATTCTGGGAGCGGAGGAGGAGAAACGAAGCAGAGGAGCAAGGAGAAGGGATTAGGGTTTGTGGGTATGAAAGAGAAGGAGTAGAGAGAGGGGAGAGAGAAGGGTAAAGAGAGATGGATGAATCAGATAGAGTTAGGGCAAGTGAAGAGGAGATTGGTTCGTAGAGTATCGATGAAACTTGAGGAGAAGAAGGAGAGAGAGATGGGTTTGGGAGATCAAGCTTTGATGTTCGGACAATCGCCATGAATTGTGTAGCTTGTTGTTGTCGCTGTAATGACACCTTTTTGCATCTGATTGGGTCGGAGAAAACACCAGAAGAATCAAAGTTAGGATCTTTGGAGATCTCTGCTCTTCCTGTTCATCAAATTTTTATTATTATATAGTTTATCTTAAATACTTTAGAAAAATTCATTAAAAAATAATTATTTTCTTAGATTGCTTCGAAATATAAGCGATATTAGTAAATAGTTATTTGAGCCCAGTAAAACTCAATAAAAAAGTTAACTTCATCGCAGGTTTTATAAAGCCTCTTAAGGCCTGATAATTCTTTATTTAAAGGCCCATTAAGCGTATATAAGAGATTTGGTGTAATCTGTAATCACTCCTATAGTTTATCAGATTCGCCCTAATCAATATTTTTTATCAAATAAAATTTTCATATTTTAAATAAAGTACTACGATTAGGGGGTGTTATTGGTTTGTGATTTAAATAGAGTTTTAATGACTTTAATTGTTGTGTAGAACGACGATTCCGGTAACGGGTTAATGACGATTTGTTACCGGAATAAGAATCATTAACCCGTATCTTGGTCTTGGAATAAGTGTTTGTATATGTGTTACCGGAATCGTCGTTGTGAATCATTAACATGTATATGTGTTTGTTTTGTCCGATATGTAAATACATAGTGAAGTTGAGCAGTTATTGATGATCAATATTCAATAGTAATATATATATATTCTCACCTTGTTATTCAATAAGAATCATCCATTACATATACATTCATAAAGTACACTCACAACTATTCTGATTATATGCACCAGTGTCCAGTGATAGTATGTAATCAGGAAAATAGAGTCTACATGAAGTTTTGTAATCCTCTTTCATTTATGTGTTATTTTTAACTTAAGTGTTAAAAATTCAACAATTAATTAAAAAAAACCTTTAATTTTTAATAGTAATATAAAAATATAAGTTTAAAAACATTTTAAGACAAAAAAAGACAAGTGTTAAAAAAATTAAATTATGTGTAAACCATTTTGAACCTAGGACACCTCTTAGGGGTTTAGATGTTGTGTCTAATTAGTTTATACAAAATTTAAAAAATTAACACTTAATAGAAGAACCTTAAAATTTTAATAGTAGTATAAGAATATAAGTTTTAAAAAAAAACTTTAATAAAATAAAAACAAGTGTTAAAAATTTAAATTATGTGTAAACCATATTAGGTTTATAAGGTACTTATGGATTGTAACTACTACTTGAAGACTCGATCCAAGTATTTATAAGGTTTTATAAGGTGTTTTTAAAGGTTTTACAAGTTATTTTAAAGGATTTTTAAGGTTTTTCAAAAGTTTTACAAGATATTTTAAAGGTTTTTAAAGGTATTTAAAATGCATTTATAAGGTATTTATAAAGTATTTATAAGATTTTAGATACATAGAAATGTAGTTTGTGTATGTTTTAATAATATTACATACATATTTGGGTAAGTCTTAGGGGGTGTTATTGGTTTGTGATTTAAATAGAGTTTTAATGACTTTAATTGTTATGTAGAATCTGTTGTTATTCCATCAAGATTTTGTTAAACTCTCGTAAAATTTGGTGTTATTAGTTTGTGACTAGTAAAAAATCATTTAAAATCCTAATGAATATGGTGTTATTGGATTAAGAGTTTTATAAAGTCATTAAAATTTTTGTGTTATTCAACTAAAACAAAACAATCTATGATTGTTAATGACTTTAATTATTGTGTTATTGGTTTATGATTTTGTACACTTTTCTTTACAAAATAAAGTCATGGAAAGTATGATTGAAATATTGAGATTGTTTGGGAGACTTTACAAGATTATAGAAAACTAATCAACAAGACTATTGAAAACTCTCTAACAATTCTTCTAAATCTTTCACTTTTTCACTTTCTATGATTTTATTAAAGTCATCAAAACTCCATTTCAATCACAAACCAATAACACCCCCTTATATTTTTAAGAGCATTTTTTATAAGGTTTTAAAAAAGAGTATTTTTGAAAAGTGGCATTGAAAAAGTAGCATCTTTGCAAAAGCCCCATATAAAAATATAAGTTTTAAAACATTTTTTAATAAAATAAAAACAAGTGTTAAAAATTTAAATTATGTGTAAACCATATTAAACCTAAAACACCTCTTAGGGGTTTGGATGTTGTGTCTAATTAGTTTACACAAAATTTAAAAATTTAACACTTAATAGAAAAACCTTAAAATTTTAATAGTAATATAAAAATATAAGTTTTAAAACATTTTTAATAAAATAAAAACATGTGTTAAAAATTTAAATTATGTGTAAACCATATTAAACCTAGAACACCTCTTAGGGGTTTGGATGTTGTGTCTAATTAGTTTACACAAAATTTAAAACTTTAACACTTAATAGAAAAACCTTAAAATTTTAATAGTAATATAAAAATTTAAGTTTTAAAACATTTTTTAATAAAATAAAAACAAGTGTTAAAAATTTAAATTATGTGTAAACCATATTAAACCTAGAACACCTCTTAGGGGTTTGGATGTTGTGTCTAATTAGTTTACACAAAATTTAAAAATTTAACACTTAATAGAAAAACCTTAAAATTTTAATAGTAATATACAAATATAAGTTTTAAAACATTTTTAATAAAATAAAAACAAGTGTTAAAAATTTAAATTATGTGTAAACCATATTAAACCTAGAACACCTCTTAGGGGTTTGGATGTTGTGTCTAATTAGTTTACACAAAATTTAATAATTTAATACTTAATAGAAAAACCTTAAAATTTTAATAGTAATATAAAAATATAAGTTTTAAAACATTTTTTAATAAAATAAAACAAGTGTTAAAAATTTAAATTATGTGTAAACCATATTAAACCTAGAACACCTCTTAGGGGTTTGGATGTTGTGTCTAATTAGTTTACACAAAATTTAAAAATTTAACACTTAATAGAAAAACCTTAAAATTTTAATAGTAATATAAAAATATAAGTTTTAAAACATTTTTTAATAAAATAAATACAAGTGTTAAAAATTTAAATTATGTGTAAACCATATTGAACCTAGAACACCTCTTAGGGGTTTGGATGTTGTATCCAATTAGTTTACACTAAATTTAAAAATTTAACACTTATCTTAAAAAAAAAATAGAAAAGGAAATTAAGAAAGAAATACCTTTGCTTGTGATTGACGAAACACAAGGTTTTCATGTGATGTCGTCGGACGGTCGGAGCCATGGAAACAGAACCAAACACATATCATGATTTGGTTCTCTACTCGCTCGTCGCTCACTGTCCCTGTCTTCTTGATATCCTCTATCCCGCTTTTGCATCCTTCGCCGTCCTCGTCAGCATCCACCGCCGAGATCTTTGACCGTGTGAAATTAAGAGAGACTTGACATGAAATCGATCTGGATTGACTTAAGATGTATTCACAACAGAGGATGGAGATGATTCACGAAAAGAGATGGTTTCTCTGCTCCGATCAATCTTACGGATGAAGTTAATTGCAAAGATAATCGGTTTTTGTTATTTCTGGTTTAGGGTTTCGAAGAAGAAGAGAGAATATAATGGAGATTTCTCAAGGAAGAAGAGAGAATGGGTGTATTTATAAGTAACGTTTGTTCAATGAAAAAAGGAAATTTCAATTGTTTCCTTTTCTTATTTGAGTTGCAAAACCAAAAAGGAAATTTATCACAACGGTAACTAAAGATTCTCCTAATCTCGTATTACTTTTAGAATCATTATATACAACACCAATAATAAAACAATCTTGATAATGCATATCCATAACTTGGTATGGATTAACGCTTTGTACTAAACAATTTCAACAAAACCACAATCTAATCTCTTTTGGTCAAAATAATATCACTCCTAAAAACATCATAATTTGTAACTGTCAAAAACTTCAGATCTTTGACGCAAAATTAACAAACAATGAAAGAAAAACAGAGAAGAAAAGTGAAAATATTATGAGAAATGTTGTGTTCTTTCAAAGCTGAGGATTGCGTTTCATTGAACCTCTATTCATTTCTTCACTACTTGAAGCAGAGGATTTAAACCATACTCACTTGTTCCACCATATTCACTGCTTTGATATTCTTTATTCTCTAACGCCAATTTCTTGAATTTTTTCATGTCTGCGGTGTACGAGCTTGCGTTATACTCTGAGCTCACGCTTCCGGGCCTCAAATACTTGCTTTGTCCTGGTCTTGTTCCTTCACTTAGATCATCCATTGACATATCTCCTTCTAGTGCTCGTACAATCTTTCATCAATACACATGTTTGAAGATTCATTAGTATGTCACATTTATCATCAAGATTAACTGTGAGTGAAAAAAAAAAAAACAAAAGAATCAAGAAGTGGTATGAGTTTTTGAACCTGGCTCATCTTAGGCCGTCTTCTTGTTGAGTGTCTGATTGCTGCAGCTGCACAAGAAGCCATTTGAACCATCTCTGGATGATTGTAGTTTAGCTCTAGACGCGGATCTGCCAATTGGTTGTAATCACCATCTTGAGCTGCTTTCAAACACAAAGGCCTTGCCTGCAACAACAATAGCAAGTTTTGTTTCTGTTTTTGCAATTGTTTTGGGATTAAACAAGAAACCGAAGAGGCGGAGACCGACTTACCCAGTCTACCAAGCTATATTCCATTTCTCCAGTTAGATCCACTGGAGGTTGTCCGGTTATGAGCTCAAGAAGCATTACACCAAATGAGAAAACATCGGATTTGTCGGATAAATCTTACCAGCTTCACAACCACTGCATCATCATCTCCACAATTGCTGCCATCAGTCACAACCTTGAGACCAAAGATGAGTATTTTCGAGCTAGAAACCGAATACATTGAGAAGTAATTGGTCGAGCCAACGATTTTAACCGAAACACCGTGGCTTAAATTCAACAAAACCCCAACTTTCTGATCGAATTCGATACCCTTTTGATCACAAATCACTTTGGCTCTCACAAAGCATTTGTTTTTCCCTTCCCGTAAACCATAGAACCTGAGAAGAAGACGAGACCCACCACGATAAGGACCAGCAACGATAAAGAAGACACGTGGGGAGGCTTCGTTACCGGAATCGTCGTTGGAGTTAGGATTCTGGGAGCGGAGGAGGAGAAACGAAGCAGAGGAGCAAGGAGAAGGGATTAGGGTTTGTGGGTATGAAAGAGAAGGAGTAGAGAGAGGGGAGAGAGAAGGGTAAAGAGAGATGGATGAATCAGATAGAGTTAGGGCAAGTGAAGAGGAGATTGGTTCGTAGAGTATCGATGAAACTTGAGGAGAAGAAGGAGAGAGAGATGGGTTTGGGAGATCAAGCTTTGATGTTCGGACAATCGCCATGAATTGTGTAGCTTGTTGTTGTCGCTGTAATGACACCTTTTTGCATCTGATTGGGTCGGAGAAAACACCAGAAGAATCAAAGTTAGGATCTTTGGAGATCTCTGCTCTTCGTGTTCATCAAATTTTTATTATTATATAGTTTATCTTAAATACTTTAGAAAGATTCATTAAAAAATAATTATTTTCTTAGATTGCTTCGAAATATAAGCGATATTAGTAAATAGTTATTTGAGCCCAGTAAAACTCAATTGGGTTGGTACCATAAAAAAGTTAACTTCATCGCAGGTTTTATAAAGCCTCTTAAGGCCTGATAATTCTTTATTTAAAGGCCCATTAAGCCTATATAAGAGATTTGGTGTAATCTGTAATCACTCCTATAGTTTATCAGATTCGCCCTAATCAATATTTTCTATCAAATAAAATTTTCATATTTTAAATAAAGTACTACGATTATTAGGAGACTTTAGTTATATAATCGCTCAAAATACATAGGATACACTAAGGACAAAAATTTTGGGTCAACGTATAGATATTTTATTTATATATGCATAATACATCAGTGTTTGTATGTGTTAGGATCTTGATTAGATTACTAGCTCCAAGATATTAGATGCTTCCTTAGCAAGAAACAAATCAACCTTAATTCAAATGATTAGTAAACCAAAATTATAAAGTCGAAACTGGCTCTTGATGCGTTGCACCGGACAAGTTTATAATTACGGATACTATCTTTTGAATCATCCAAGACCAAGATACGGGTTAATGATTCTTAATTGTGTTTAAGATAATTAAAGTTGTTAATTAAGCCATATCATATGGTAAAACTATCATGAATGTGGTGTTTTTTCTTTTTTTCTTTTATATTTTAGTTTGTTATCTTACCTTTAAATTTATAAATAATTAAATGGAAAGTGAGGGAACAAGAACTACGAAGACCACTACACAATTGTTCAAGAGTGGTGTTCTATATGCTCATAATATATCTATTTTTGGTAATATACAACTGTACAAGTATGTGTTTGTCTAGTTGAACATATATAAATATAACCAAAAGAATTTGACATGCATATAACAAATTAACAATATTGATACGTTCAAAATGTTCTGTTTTTGAAGCATGGCATAAGGAAAATCGGGATATAATATATTCGGGGAGGCAAAACAATTTCCAAGAATTGATGCGCTGATATAATACTAATTTGTAGGTTTCGGTGTTTGAACAGTAGTTAAGTAAAAATTAATTTAAATTTATTATATAACTAAAAGAATGGAAAGATTGAGTTATATATGAAATGGTTAAGTGGAAACTGTGTGAAGCAAGGGCCAGGTTCAAGTTACGGCTGATTTGGTGATGGAACACGAGGAAAGACATGTGGGATTATGTTTTGGCCATGATATTTAACTTTTATGTAAGCTCACAATCGCAAATTTCAAGTAATTAACAATCTAATCTTGCTCCAATTATGTTAGGTTCGATGAAGTCCCATATACATCATCTTTGGCATTTCGTGTTCAATAATTTCTTGTTTACGGTGAGGAAATCAAATCCACTTGTGCATTTATATGCACTTTTGGCCACTTTGAAATTCATACGAAACTATGTATTGATCTCTGATAAATTTGTTTTCAGTTTTAGATGCATCGTGACTCTAAGAAGTCATAGCCATTGAAAATATGCATAGTAGCTACTTTTATCAGTTACTAATAAGTTTTTTGTATAAGCGCCAACGTATATTACAAGTTAATTTATTTATATATAAGTTTTGCCAGCTATTTTTAGCATAGATAAACTAACCAAATGTTATAAAATGATCGTATTTTATTTGCGAGTAAAAATGACTCCAGGCATCCACATTTGATGGGATTTGTTCATTTCATTTGAAGCAAAATGGCTGTAGTTGTACTGATTCTACTGAATTGGTCAATGTGTTCACAAAAAACAAAAGTTATATCTATCAATTAGGGGTGGGCACAAATCGAATATCCGGGATTTTGGTAGTATTTGTGATTCGATTTGCTTCGTCCGAATAATTGGTTTTCTGATTCGTATTTGCTTCGTAAATAACCGAATATCCGGCTGTCCGAATATCCGTTAAAATTTGAACTATTTGCCGGATATTCGATTTGTTCAGTATAAATCAAAAAACAATTATAAAAATAAAACAAAAACATAAAAAATGAGAAATTTAATCCAAAATAAGTACTATTTCATTGAAAAAAATATTTCTTCTTTAATTATTAAAAGTAATAGTTAAATAATTAATTTGATGAACATAAACTTATAAAATTTACATATAAAAATAGAAAAATGATTAGTAAATATCTGTAATTATCTATATACATATATATATATATATATATATATATATGTTCATGTATACCGAATCGGAGCGAATATCCGCATATTTAAATTTTAGTATTTGTTATTTGCTTCGTTTTTAATGAATATCACTTTTTAGTATTTGATTTGCTTCGTAAAACTTCGGATATCTGGATTTTTCGAATTGAATAGAACCGAATAACGGATCGAAGCGAATCTGACGAATATTTTGTCCAGCACTACAGTATCAATCCCCAAAATAGTCTGTTCAAACGAAAAAATTAGTCAAATCTTAAGAGGCCGTAATTAGATTTCAAGAACTTTACAAGACTTGCTTTCAATTCAATAATACCATTTTTATTATTTAAAATATATATTAACATTTTTCACTTATTAGTATAGTGGATAAAAGAAAATCTGTTTTGCAACCAAATGGCCGACCAATGTATCTTGGTTGGTGTATGTTCACATTGTTATGTAAGGTTTGGTGACGTGACTCAACCATAGAAATAATAATAATTTGCTCGAAATTATTGTTTATATGGTTGATCCATTAGAGATAAATTTAAGACTCTATTATTAATTGTTTATTAAGTTAATGTACAATGCCGACAATAATTTCTCCCTATAAAAACTCATTCGAACAAGTATCTTCCCAATCAAATAACTCATCTTCCAAAGCTCTCTTCTCTCTTCACAAAATCACACTCTCTTAACATTTTAGAAGATTCCTGCTTGGAAAGAATCTAAAACAAGTTTTTCGAAGGATTCGTCGTATAAAGTCTCACCATCTTCCTAGTCTTTAATTTGCTATACAAGCATTGTTATATCAACTGGTTTCTTATGGACACAACTGGATATGGAAAGCATCATCATGAGCTTGAGGAGAAAGGAGAAGAAATCACAAAGTAGAAGACTCGGGAAATATCTCAAAGAACAAAAGGGGAGGATCTACATCATTAGAAGATGTGTGATGATGCTTCTTTGTTCATGTGATTAATTTATTTATTACGATACACATAAAAACACATATACATACACATGTATATGTGTTTGTTTTGTCCGATATGTAAATACATAGTGAAGTTGAGCAGTTATTGATGATCAATATTCAATAGTAATATATATATATATTCTCACCTTGTTATTCAATAAGAATCATCCATTACATATACATTCATAAAGTACACTCACAACTATTCTGATTATATGCACCAGTGTCCAGTGATAGTATGTAATCAGGAAAATAGAGTCTACATGAAGTTTTGTAATCCTCTTTCATTTATGTGTTATTTTTAACTTAAGTGTTAAAAATTCAACAATTAATTAAAAAAAACCTTTAATTTTTAATAGTAATATAAAAATATAAGTTTAAAAACATTTTAAGACAAAAAAAGACAAGTGTTAAAAAAATTAAATTATGTGTAAACCATTTTGAACCTAGGACACCTCTTAGGGGTTTAGATGTTGTGTCTAATTAGTTTATACAAAATTTAAAAAATTAACACTTAATAGAAGAACCTTAAAATTTTAATAGTAGTATAAGAATATAAGTTTTAAAAAAAAACTTTAATAAAATAAAAACAAGTGTTAAAAATTTAAATTATGTGTAAACCATATTGAACCTAGAACACCTCTTAGGGGTTTGGATGTTGTGTCCAATTAGTTTACACAAATTTAAAAATTTAACACTTAATAGAAAAACCATAAAATTTTAATAGTAGTATAAGAATATAAGTTTTAAAATATTTTTAATAAAATAAAAACAAGTGCTAAAAATTTAAATTATGTGTAAACTATATTGAACCTAGAACACCTCTTAGGGGTTTGGATGTTGTGTCCAATTAGTTTACACAAAATTTAAAAATTCAACACTTAATAGAAAAACCTTAAAATTTTAATAGTAATATAAAAATATAAGTTTTAAAACATTTTTTAATAAAATAAAAACAAGTGTTAAAAATTTAAATTATGTGTAAACCATATTAAACCTAGAACACCTCTTAGGGGTTTGGATGTTGTGTCTAATTAGTTTACACAAAATTTAAAAATTTAACACTTAATAGAAAAACCTTAAAATTTTAATAGTAATATAAAAATATAAGTTTTAAAACATTATTAATAAAATAAAAACAAGTGTTAAAAATTTAAATTATGTGTAAACCATATTAAACCTAGAACACCTCTTAGGGGTTTGGATGTTGTGTCTAATTAGTTTACACAAAATTTAATAATTTAATACTTAATAGAAAAACCTTAAAATTTTAATAGTAATATAAAAATATAAGTTTTAAAAAAAATTTTAATAATAAAAACAAGTGTTAAAAATTTAAATTATGTGTAAACCATATTAAACCTAGAACACCTCTTAGGGGTTTGGATGTTGTGTCTAATTAGTTTACACAAAATTTAAAAATTTAACACTTAATAGAAAAACCTTAAAATTTTAATAGTAATATACAAATATAAGTTTTAAAACATTTTTAATAAAATAAAAACAAGTGTTAAAAATTTAAATTATGTATAAACCATATTAAACCTAGAACACCTCTTAGGGGTTTGGATGTTGTGTCTAATTAGTTTACACAAAATTTAATAATTTAATACTTAATAGAAAAACCTTAAAATTTTAATAGTAATATAAAAATATAAGTTTTAAAACATTTTTTAATAAAATAAAACAAGTGTTAAAAATTTAAATTATGTGTAAACCATATTAAACCTAGAACACCTCTTAGGGGTTTGGATGTTGTGTCTAATTAGTTTACACAAAATTTAAAAATTTAACACTTAATAGAAAAACCTTAAAATTTTAATAGTAATATAAAAATATAAGTTTTAAAACATTTTTTAATAAAATAAATACAAGTGTTAAAAATTTAAATTATGTGTAAACCATATTGAACCTAGAACACCTCTTAGGGGTTTGGATGTTGTATCCAATTAGTTTACACTAAATTTAAAAATTTAACACTTATCTTAAAAAAAAAAATAGAAAAGGAAATTAAGAAAGAAATACCTTTGCTTGTGATTGACGAAACACAAGGTTTTCATGTGATGTCGTCGGACGGTCGGAGCCATGGAAACAGAACCAAACACATATCATGATTTGGTTCTCTACTCGCTCGTCGCTCACTGTCCCTGTCTTCTTGATATCCTCTATCCCGCTTTTGCATCCTTCGCCGTCCTCGTCAGCATCCACCGCCGAGATCTTTGACCGTGTGAAATTAAGAGAGACTTGACATGAAATCGATCTGGATTGACTTAAGATGTATTCACAACAGAGGATGGAGATGATTCACGAAAAGAGATGGTTTCTCTGCTCCGATCAATCTTACGGATGAAGTTAATTGCAAAGATAATCGGTTTTTGTTATTTCTGGTTTAGGGTTTCGAAGAAGAAGAGAGAATATAATGGAGATTTCTCAAGGAAGAAGAGAGAATGGGTGTATTTATAAGTAACGTTTGTTCAATGAAAAAAGGAAATTTCAATTGTTTCCTTTTCTTATTTGAGTTGCAAAACCAAAAAGGAAATTTATCACAACGGTAACTAAAGATTCTCCTAATCTCGTATTACTTTTAGAATCATTATATACAACACCAATAATAAAACAATCTTGATAATGCATATCCATAACTTGGTATGGATTAACGCTTTGTACTAAACAATTTCAACAAAACCACACTCTAATCTCTTTTGGTCAAAATAATATCACTCCTAAAAACATCATAATTTGTAACTGTCAAAAACTTCAGATCTTTGACGCAAAATTAACAAACAATGAAAGAAAAACAGAGAAGAAAAGTGAAAATATTATGAGAAATGTTGTGTTCTTTCAAAGCTGAGGATTGCGTTTCATTGAACCTCTATTCATTTCTTCACTACTTGAAGCAGAGGATTTAAACCATACTCACTTGTTCCACCATATTCACTGCTTTGATATTCTTTATTCTCTAACGCCAATTTCTTGAATTTTTTCATGTCTGCGGTGTACGAGCTTGCGTTATACTCTGAGCTCACGCTTCCGGGCCTCAAATACTTGCTTTGTCCTGGTCTTGTTCCTTCACTTAGATCATCCATTGACATATCTCCTTCTAGTGCTCGTACAATCTTTCATCAATACACATGTTTGAAGATTCATTAGTATGTCACATTTATCATCAAGATTAACTGTGAGTGAAAAAAAAAAAAACAAAAGAATCAAGAAGTGGTATGAGTTTTTGAACCTGGCTCATCTTAGGCCGTCTTCTTGTTGAGTGTCTGATTGCTGCAGCTGCACAAGAAGCCATTTGAACCATCTCTTGATGATTGTAGTTTAGCTCTAGACGCAGATCTGCCAATTGGTTGTAATCACCATCTTGAGCTGCTTTCAAACACAAAGGCCTTGCCTGCAATAAAGAGCAAGTTTTGTTTCTGTTTTTGCAAGTGTTTTGGGATTAAACAAGAAACCGAAGAGGCGGAGACCGACTTACCCAGTCTACCAAGCTATATTCCATTTCTCCAGTTAGATCCACTGGAGGTTGTCCGGTTATGAGCTCAAGAAGCATTACTCCAAATGAGAAAACATCGGATTTGTCGGATAACTTTCCACTTGATGCATACTATAGAGCTAAGTATCTGAATCAAAGAAAATGTTAAAAACAAGTGAAAGAAACTAAATAAGTGTGAATGATTTAAGACATTTTACAAAGCGGCCAGGTTCAAGTTACGGCTGATTTGGTGATGGAACACGAGGAAAGACATGTGGGATTATGTTTTTGGCCATTATATCAAACTTTTATGCAAGATCACAATCGCAAATTTCAAGTAATTAAAAGTATAATCTTGTTCCAATTATGTTGGGTTTGATAAAGTCCCATATACATAGTGTTTGGCAGCTTTTAGGCATTTGAGTTTTTACAAGATGCTTTCTTAAAGGTACACTATTTTAATTCTTGGTAAGAGTTTTGTAAATAAAGAGCAATAAATGTTAGATCACTCATATAATGAATTACATGCCAAAGGGAACAGCCTAAACTTTCTCTGGCCAACTTTTTTGAATCACCTATAATGAATTAGGCTTCGATTTGAGCAGGAGCAGGCAAAGGTTTCTCTAAGGAACATTTATCAGGTTTCATGGAATTGAAAAGTTCTAGAACTTCTGCATTGCGACGGATATAACTTGGGGACATAGACAGCAAATCCTGAGCTTCACTATGCCTTGCAGACTTCAACATAGCTTCAAATACACGCAGAACCATTGAATTAGATGGAAACTTCTTTGAAGTCACGGCCTTCAGAAAAGCGAAAGCCTCTGCGCTTGTTCCACTATTCGATAAATAATCCATGAACGGGTCCACGAAAGGAGGGAACCCGTGATTTTTCATCATAGGTAGAAGACTCAAAGCTTCTTCAAACCCACCATCTCTTGCTACCTTCTTCATCAATAGATTCCTGACCATGATTTTGTATGTACTGTGCCAAGGTTTCAACTGATTTTGTTTCACTAGCTCGGTGAAAAGCTTGTATACATCTCTTGCCTGAAAACTGTTGCAATAAGCAAGTACCAACTTCTCAAATGCATAACCTGCATAAGAGACTCCCTCTTTCCCAATCATCTTATTGAAACACTCTGAAGCTTCTTCGAGATCTTTAGCATCACAGTGCCCTTCAACTAAAGATGCCATTGCTTTGTCATCTAAATGATTTCCAGAGGCTTCCATAAAGTTCACAAGTTCGTTTGCTTCATCTTTCTTGCCCTTACGACTAAGTCCTGATGCAATCACACTCTGCAAATCACCGCTAGGAACATAGCCGCCTTCGTTCATCGCTTTCAACACCTCATTGCTCTGTCCAAACCTATCAACGCTTCTCAAAGACTTGAGGACATGTTGCAGCATAGAATCCGGCACAACGTTGCCATTACCAGTATAAGCTTTCACAGTTCTTGTAAACAAGTCCATGTCCAATTTCTTTGCACTGACAATTTTCTTGAGCAGTAAACTGCAGCAGTGTGGGGTGGGTGTGTTGCTACCCGCCATTGCAAACTCGAACAATTCGACAGCTTCTTTAATCATTTTAGTCTGACAGAACCTCGCCGAAACCCTAACATAAGTCTCCATTTCCATCTCGTAACCAGCACTCCTAATTTCCTCTATAATGTGCTGAAACCTATCAAGAAACTTCTCTTTCCCTAAGACCCTGGCCATAGCATTATACGTCTTCTCATCATGCTTAAAACTGCCAGACTCATCAATCCACCTAAAGAACAACAAAGCTTTCCTCGGATCCACGTCAAGTTTTTCCAACACCATCTTCACCAGATCAGTTTTAAACTCGAGCTTCAAATCCCTTAGCTGTTTCTCCACATCAGCACTCCACACTTCCTTCATCACAATCTTACACACCCTATTGCAAACCTTATCCACCGAATTATCCATAGAACCTGAAGCAAAAATCTCTTTAAGCCTCTCCAAATCACTTTCCAGTCCATCTTTCTGAAACTTGTCACCCACTTTGTTCCTAACATTAGCTGAAACACCATGCCCTTTCTTCTTCATAGCATCAACCAATTCCCAAAATTCATCAACAAGTCCATTAACACCAAGAATACGCAGCATCGTGTTATAACTCTTGGAGGAGAGTTTTCGAGGATACGCCTCCAAAACCCACTTGAAAAAACTTCCCGCAACATCAGGGCTTGATTCAAGTTCCCTCAGAACTCTCAATGCTAATTCATGGCTAATCACAACATCATTCGAATCCAGCTCTTTCCTAATATCATCCTTAGCACTCAATCTGCTAAAAATATCAATCACAACCGTCTCAGCAGGAGGTTTCTCTTCAATCGCAGGATCAGAAGAAAAGCTTCGGCTAACAGAGCTCGTCAACGGCGATCGCAAGGCAAGAAGGCACTGTCTTTGTTGCAAAGCTCCAACTTCAAAACGTTCAGGGAGGAAAGAAGAGAAAGATCGAGTCGAATTGGAGATTACCTGGAACTGGGAGTGATGAGAAAGAAATGGATGACTAGACGAACGATAACTCCGAAAAAGTAGCAACCTCCTCCATTGATACCTCATCCTTTCTTTCAATCTAAGATACAAAAAACACTAGTGTTTGGTTTGATTTGATCAAAAAGTTTGGATTTTTACGAATGGGAAAGATGGAGCAGCAATGGCGCAAGCAAGAGAGAGGAAATGGATGTTAGGGCTTTAGACTAAACCTCTGAGCAAGACGGAAGGGTCGACTGGACTTGTTTTTAATATGTGGTCCTCAAACCTTTTTGAAGTTTTTATTTCTAGCCACAACGTTTTCGATTTTTGACCTGATCAGATTTACGATTAGGTAAATGTCTTCTTGATCCAATCATGTTTTCTCATTAAATTCTCCAATGTTGTAAATAATGTTTCTTAGAATGTAGTAAATTTTTATTCACCTAATGTTCCAAATTATCTTCATTTCGGATAAGATATTCATTGTTTGAGTGATCTAATAATATCCGTTGAAGTTGTTACTTTATACTAGAACACTGAACCCTCTCATAATTTTGACATTAAAAAGCATACTTTTTATAAACTAGATAGGTAAGATTACATAAACATCCAAAATGACACCAAGAAAATAACATCAGAAATGAGAATTAAAACCCCCAGTTTATTAAAACACAAGTCGAAGAGGGGAATTAATTAGAAAAGAAGTCCAAGGTGCTTGCTTAGTGGTTTTTGTTCATGCCGGTCTTGTCCTTGACGACATCAGCAGCTCCTTGTGCCTTCTCCGTCATTTGTTGTCCCGTCTACAATTCATAATTTTGGATTTAAACTTCATTATTATGCTTTCTACTACAAAGGGGACAAAATCAATTAAAATGAAAGAATCAAAATTGAACCTGTTGCAAGGAGTCCTGAGCTGAAGCAGCAGCATCCTTGGCCTTGTCCATCATTCCACCTGCCTTCTCCTGTATATATATTCACATATTTTTAACATAAGATCATAATTAATTTTCGAAAAAGATTTTAGTATAAGGAAGGTTAGAGACCTTAGTCTGGCCAGTGGCTTGACCGGCTTGGTAGCTCATGTTTTGCTTGTTATCCATTTTCTCTCGGTTTTGCGTACACTTTGAATTGATGCTTTTTGATTGATTGTTGTGTTTGATGATGAGAAAAATAGTGGAGTTTTGGGTTGCTATTTATAACCCAGAGACGTGCTTGGGAGTCTCCACGTGTCGAGGACACGTGCATCGGTTCGAGAAACTTGCCTCACTCGGTGGCTAGTTTTAGCATCCACGTGTTGGTTAACCGTTTGACCAGGACATAAAGGGTTACGTACGTGGTTCTCTCGATTTCTGATCCCAAACGACATGGTTTTATTTGACTTAGGCTTGTATTAGATTTTGAGTTAAAGAGGAACGAATGACTCCTCTGTTGCACGATAATAGGATTTTGAGTGAAAGAAAATGTTTTCTTTCTTTCCTTACGCAACGTTTTATTTTCTTCATATGTGCATATATAATAACTAAAATTGTCAATTCAATAACATAATTACTTTAGTTTTTAATAACCTTTTCTTAATTTAACGGGAAACGTAATCAATGACAGATTCAGTTTCTAAGAATGAAAACAAGAAATTACGGTTTTGAAGGTTTTCTTTTTACCACTAATCAACTACAGTATTCATAGATGATAGGACTATAGGAGTCATCATTCTTCTGTTAAAATTAAACTACATTTTAGTTCGTACAATTTAGATAATCATCTCTAAAAAACTAAATTAGTCATGCAAGTGGTTCTGTATTTTGTTGACAACCAAAATTTTGTAATGTTTAGAAATATTATTACACACATTTGCTACATAATGGCAATCACGTTTATTCTTACGAATCGTTTAAAAAAACAAACATAATAGTAAAAATCATGGCAGCAATATTTCAAAATAATAACATAAAAGTCTTTAGGTATCATAAAACCACTATTAATAAAGTAGAAAAACACCAATTCACTTGCTTGTGAAGGAGACGAACTCAAACTTCACAAGTCATTATTAATAAGAACATAGTTTTTTAAAAAGAAAGAGCAAAAACAGAAAGCTCGAAAATAGTTATTAGGAAGAAAATTCTGCTAGATTCCCTCGTCCTTCTCGTCCTCGCTGCTGCAGCTATTGTTGCTGCTCCATTCACACTTCAAGGTAGATCTAGGCGATCCACAGTACTTACCAAGCTTCTCAAACGTCTGATACATCACTGTTCCACTCTCTTCTCCTAGAGACTCGAATGTCCTCTCTCTGCACCCATAGTCTTCCAAGTCTACACTGATCTCTGGCTTGTATGCGTTCACTCCAACGCTCGAGTGCACAGCTACAGAGAATTGCTTGGGCTCGAAGCAAGAGAGTACCCTTGTCACCAGCTGGCTCAGGTCAATAGTGTTGAAGTCGTAACCCACAGCTTCAAAGCTAGCGTAGCTAAACCCATCTTCAGGGGTCACATGGATCGTGGAGATTGCATCCCCTTCAATTGAGTTCATAGAGTAGCCACAGGGCTCGAATTCAAAGTCGCAGATCTGGGACTGGGGAAGGATCTTTCGGATTCCAGAGTTGTCAGTCATTGACCCAGTCTTGTCAGCTTCATTCTTGTAGAAGACAGAAGCTTTCTCTCTGTCCAGACCAGTCATGCACATCTCGAGAGTGTAGACATTGTTGTTGCAGTTGCTGGAGTCCTGGGCAGAGGCAGCATAGACATGCCATTTCTTAGTCTCATCATCATTGCCCATCAAGTAGGCTACGCTGTTCAAGCCCAGCTGAGTAAAGTGCCCATCAAGAACAGAGACTTCTTCAGAGAAGCTGCGGTGAGGGAAAGGCTGGCCTCCGGGGCAGAGGAAGGAGCCACGAGTGTACTTCACAGACTTGACACTCAGAGAGAGCTCACCAGCCAGCTTTAGAAGTGGTGGGATAGAGAGGAGGAGCTTTGTGGTACCGCAAGTCTTGATGATGACTTTGTAGGGGTAGACAAAGAAGCTGGACTCAGAGAGTACGTAAGAGTCCAATTTATCGTTGGAGAGAGAAGAAACGATCGTGCATGCAGCAGGTGTAAGAATTTCATCAAGCTGAGACTTGGTAAGAGCACGGAGTCCCAGTCCCTTGGAGTCTTGAAAGATGCTTGGCTCAAAGAAAGTAACCTCGAGCCGTTTCTCGTAACCTTCGAAACCGATTGCAGATAAGGCCATCTCGCCTTGTTGTGTGAGCGACAGGACTTGTAGTAGGAGGAGAGAACGATTGGATCCGGGAACCAGCAGAAAGGGAGCTTTGAAAGAAGAAAATTATAAACTGGAAAGTAAAGAAAGCTATAACTATATTAAGAAGATCGGTGCACGCTGGTACTCAGGATGGCCTCTTGGAGCACTGCAACAAAAGTAAAAACATTGTTAAGAAGAGACTATAATGGATATTGAAGAAAATCAGGAATAGAATTATAGAGGAAACTAACGTTAGAGTAGACAGAAGATTTGAATTTCTTGATTCCACCGTTTGGACGAACGTCTTCAATGCTGTAACCGAGGGGAGCTTCGTAACATAAGGAACTACTACTGCTGGACTTCTTTTTACCACCTTTCGACTCCATCATAATCTCATTCACGCTTTTCTGTATTAGACAAAACAAATCCAAAGGAAAAAAAGGTTAGATGATAATAAACACACCAGGTATTTAAAGATCATCCAACAATGTTTATCAGACCATTACGAATCTATAAACAATAAGAACCATTCCATTTTCAGTTATAGATCTCGAATGAACCAATTATTAGAGCAGATCCATAGCTATGAACAAAGCGTAAGACAACTCGTATTCATACATGTAACAAAACATAAATCGAAACCTAAGTCGTTCGTTTCAGGTACAAGTCAATCAAAACATGCATGCGAATAGCAATCTCTCATACCAAGACCTAGGACGATGTCTATTTAACCTAGGCTGATGAGTCAATCGTGAAAGATTACTTACATATAAATGAAGATCGATAGATCAAGATCGCGAATTATGAATTCCTTGTTTCCAGAAACCCCTTTTTCCAGATATCAAACGAAACCCTCAAACCTGAAAATCGGAAAAAAAAAAAAAAAACCAGAATTCAACGATTAAAAAACATTATCCTCTACCACCGAACAGATCTACGAAAGAGATAGAAAACGCAGATCTACAATTGAAAAGAAACTCACCAGATAAAGATGAATTCAGAAAAACGCAAGCTTTTGAACAATTTTCGAAAAAGAGAAACCCTAAATTTGAGAGAAACGATTATAAATGATGATTTGGTAATGATGAAGCAATGAGATGCGTTCGTGAGGAGGACAAGAAAGGTCAGAAAGAGTGCCTTTATATAAGTACTAGGGTTATGCTCTTTGACAATTACGTATTTGACCTTATACCTTTTGCGTTTTATCGCGTGAAGCTATCTGAGCCGTTGATTATTTCCAATTTGCCGTTCCGAGGTTTTTACCAAAATTACCCTTAAACCCCTTTATTTACGTTGGAATCGGGTGGTGCGGGCATCTCGATTCCTGACCGCAGATAAATAGCCAACAATTAACAATTTATTTGCTTTTTCCTTTTTTTTTTTGGTAAGGATTTATTTGCTTTTTCCTTTCGCCGCAAGTAGAATTATTTTAATTTTAGAGATTTGTTTCTTTTTTATATTTTTTGACATTATCTTCTACGGAACAACAAAATATAAACAGAGATGGGCCAACACGCTATATTAACCAACCATATAATGACACGTGTTATTAAGATACGTGTGCCGTTGAAGCGGACAACTCGAGGCGAGCTGTCACGTAGCGTAGCCGCGGTGGGCCTAAAAGAATCAAATTCTATTTCTCAAAGGCTCTCAACTGCTCCACTAAATGACAAAATTGGGCCTCCCCGTGACTCACTCATGACTCATGTCCCACCTTTAGTCAAAAATCAACAAATTAAAAATGTATCAAAGCAAAGTAGTAAACCCAATTAATATTGAGTATTGTGTATTAAAAAAATGAGAGCCTTTGAGAAATGATTTACTTTTATTACTCAATATTAATTGGGACCTTAATGAGATTATGAAAAAAAAATGATTTACTTTTCACATTAATTAGACTTTTCTAGGAACACAGGTCTATACATACATTAGCTGCTAGCTGGAGCTTGCTTTCATTTCCACGAAATTGCTAAAAAGAATGAGAGAGCTTCTGATAAGAAATTCCCACCCAACTTGACAAATATGATGAAAAAAGAATATATTCCAACAAGAAAAGATAAGGATGACAAACGAATTCGAATCCAACTTCTGCTTCTGGTTTGGTTCAGGTTATTGCCAACCAGTTTTCAATTCCTACGGTTGAACCGGTTTGGCATTATTCTTCTCATACTCCAGTTTCAGTTCTTCCAAACGCTTTGATACCTGCAATGAACAAAAAATCACATTAATGCCACCACACTTGTTGATTAACTCAAGAAGGCTCAGAGAGTTTTTCAAGTATACCAGCAGATTTAACAACATCAATGCCCTCAATTGTTCACTAGAAGTTAATCATGTCGATATCGTGAATCTGATTCTTTCATATCTCTCCCGAGTTATCATAGAAATTTAACTAGAACATTAACTTTTCGAAAAAGAAAGAGAACCTTGATAGGGTAAGCCAATGGAAGCAAGGTATCCGGATTCATTGCATCTTCCGGGAAAGTTTTCAGAGCATGTATTAGTTTCTCAAACGGTAATTTTACCTGCAGAGTTAATATGATACATTTTTTTAAAAGCTCGGTTTTGCGACATTAACTTACAGCTCATTAAGGAAACTCACTCACCAACTCATCTTGGCAATACTTCAGCAATGCTAAGCTCACTTTGAACACGATTTTAACACCCTTAAGAAACAATGACCAGAGAATAGAATGAGACTTTGATTACAAAATATATCGTCAAAAGAGATTTTAAAGATGCAAATTTAGTTACCTCAGAGAGAAACACATCCCATATCCGTAGAGCCAAAGGGAAAGGAAATGAATAAGAGAAGACGGTGATGAACCATTGACTTGCATACATACTTGGAGTAATCATTTCTTGAGTAAAATGTTCTCCGAGCTTCGGAATTAGCTCTTTTACCAAGCTTTCTAACTGAAACAGGTATTGCTGTACAAGGGGAAGCCCTGCCTACATTACACACAAACCACTGACTCTTAAGAATAGATGAAATGTATATTTTTGAATCAAAGACATTAACTTTTTCAAGCAAGGAACGAACGATACAATAGCCTTTTATATTGGATAGTTCATTCATGATCAATGATAAAAAAAACTCACACCAGAATCGTTATAAACATAAATCGACAAAGAAATTTTTAAAACATGGTCACAAGCTCTAACTCATGCAGAAAATAATGTTTTGTTTCTCAACTATACAACATTTTCTTGCAATCTTCCAATGATTAAAAGACTTACGTGATACAATCCTTCCATTGGAGCATGAACAGCTCCTTTTAGTAATGCAACTAATAACCAGAACGCGTCTTCTTCGCTCATATACAGAAGCAACAAACCCGCTATAAACCCCATCCCCTGCAGATATAAGAATCAGAATCTTAGTACCATACTAAAAGAAAAATGAGAAACAAGGGAAATATCTAGAGGATAGACCTGAACATATCCAACATCTCTGTCATAAACTGAGTACGCCTTAAGGACATTGTACAACGATCTTTGCCCGGGTCCATGTCTCTTCTGAAAGAAAACATGTGATGGGAAAGTACGGGATATGTCTCGAATGATATCAAGCTCTGATGCCGATGTTTCATAAATCACCAATTGCTGCATAGGAAAATCGTTAGATGATCAGAATATATGACTAGTAAAGTAAACAATATAACGGTAAACGGCAAAATTAATTACCTCATAAACACCAGGATTCATTAGCAAAAGGTCCCGACTTCCTGAGATTAACTGCCAAACAAGACCTCTTAAGCAATCCGGGATCCCTTTTCGTATACGCCTTCTGACAACATTAGGTTTTCTCCTGACATAATGCTTCCAATCACTACCTCCAACCCCAATCATCTTCCTCCATTTTCTCACCTTTCTCTCCTCTCTATAGATAGCCAACAACAGAAACACACTCTCATTCTTACCATACTCTCTCAGAAATAACTCGAATTCAATATCTCTTCAGGACATACCTGTCATGGTCAGTGGATGATGTAATTCTAGACTTGCTAAAACGCTCAGGCGAAGAATTGCCATGTTCTTGCTTGAGAAACCCGAATCTATCCACGGGAACATGAGAAGTGACTGGTGCTGATTCACTGCCATTTTCGGTTCTTTTTCTACTCATTCTCTACTAACCTGAAGAGACTCCTCCTAGCATTGGTTTCAGTCTCCTTCTTCACACAAGATTGTTGATCAAGCTGCCTAATGACACAATCACAGACACTTGAGAAAACATTCCAATATCCCCAAAAGATAAAATGAATACCATCGCCACTAATATTAACAGATTCTCAAAGTGAAATCCTAAATCTAGTAACTTTGATTAACTAGCAAAGATGCTATATTCAATCTGAGCAACGTGATGATCAGTTCTAGAAGACGACCCACAAACTTCAGAGAAACAGTTGAAAAAATCTGAGCAAATTAAGACTCACCTACGTTTAGTCAGATCAAAAGATTCGAACCCCAATCCTCGATGAGCTAAGAAAATAATCACTTTCTGGATATTTTCGAGATTAGAATTGTTGGAATTCGATGAAGTTTGGAGATGGAAATAAGAAGATAACCAAAACGTAAGAAATACAACGTTGGATGGAGATCACATCTGGGAATTCATTCAGTGGTGACTCAATCTTTGAATTTTTCATCCGCTTGAAGAAAGTGATCTTTTTTTTTCCTTACCGGAGAAAATAAATAAAATCAAAGTGAAGCCAGCACGAAACGACGCCGTCGAGATTAAATGGTTATGCCAACTTGCTATGTTTGGTGACATCTAAAAGATTCTATTTTCTAATTTTGGGTAATTAGAGGCTTTATCACGATTAAGATTTTTTGATTCATAAAGTTTGAGGAACAAAACAATTTCAAAAATTCATTAACTATTTTTTATAATAAGCCCAAAAATACACACAACCCAATAGCTAAAAAGCCCATGAAACGATTTATAAACGCCCAGTGCTTCTTCATACAGTTTATATTATTAATAAAGCCGTAAGATCAAAAAATATTCAGCTGTCCTGTGTTTTTTTTCCTTTCAATTTAATAGAGTCATCACCGTGAAGACGAAAGCTTTTCTAATTCCATCTCCAGTTCCAATCTTGTTCACGAGCATGACACCTTCGTCTACTCTTGCGCTTGGTGTGTTTTCTTAGGATTTCGATTTTTTGCACAAGAATGATCGACGCATGATTCGGATTCCAGGAAAGAGAATCTATGGCTACTTTCAATGTTCTCTGTAGCAATCGATTTCAAGGATGATCAAGTCTCTGCGGTTTCTTCTTTCCTTACAGCTTTCAGTCTTTCTTGAAGTTTCTTGCTTTGTTCGAAATTCACCTTCCGCTTCACAGCTTTCTGCAAAGATATTGTAAAGATATCATATCGTCTCTAAGACAATGTACTCCACCCCAGCGAAAGGAAAACTTGTTGGCTATTAGTAATTTACCTCTTGGCGGAAACATCGATCAAGCTTTACTTTCAGCTCTGTACATTCTCCGAAGAATTTCCCAATCGGATGATCTATATGACACTTTTGAAATTCCTCAATTATCTAGCAAACATATGACAAACAGAAAGAATTAGTAAGAACAAGAGAATAGATCAAATTGAAATCTTTTGAAAGGTTTGCTCTTTCCAAATGCAATTATGTAGCTTGTTTACAAAGACTTACTAAACCTATAGATTAACAAACATAGGAGTTATCACATACTGTACATTGTATATATTTACAAAATCTCTCATCTCATTTGCATGCAGCTCTAATACATTGTTATAATCAATGACGCTTTCACAGAGGATTGAAACTACAAAATTGAGTAAACTCTCACCTCAAGACACATTGGATGTCTATGTGGTGTAAGTGGAGGATGCATCTTTTACTTCTTCTGCAAGAAAAAAAAAAAAAAGAAGCAAAATCTGAATGGCTTGTAATGTGCATTAAAAATCAGATCTTTCATTTCTCTGCTAAAAACACATAAGGAAATTACTGCAGGACCAATCAAAAACCCTTATACTGAAAAAGCAAGAGAAGGAAAGATTTGGATTTTTGTATCATACTAACAAGTCAAAAGTCATTCTAATCTGAAAATTTCGGATCTCAATTTAACAAGGAGGAGAACCACAGGATTTGAAGAGAAAATCGGTTCGAAAATCATTAAAATCGAGATTCAAAACAAAACCTAATCGAAGAAGAGTATAATTACCTTGATTGGGGTATCTATAAGCAGAGAAAGAGGATTTGTCTCGAGCTCAGAATCAATGGCGAAGAGAAAGACAGGATGAGTCAAAATGACGTTCATAGAATAGAGACGGGTCAAAATTCCTCGATGAGAATTGTTGGAATTCGATGGAATTGAAGAAGATAACCAAAGCGAAAGAAATACAACGTTGGATGGAGATCACATCTGGGAACTCAAACGCGTATGTTATTATGGTGGTGGTGACTCAATTGTACCAAATCTTTGAATTTTTCATCCGCTTGAAGAAAGTGATGTTTTTTTTTTTCCTTACCGGAGAAAATAGGGAATATGAGTCCAGCCAGAAAAATAATAATAATTCAAGTGAAGCCAGCACGAAACGACGACGTCGAGAATATTATTTGATTAAAATATGGTTATGCCAACTTGCTAAGTTTGGTGAGAACTAAAAGATTTTATTTTTTTAATTGAGTACCATTTATTAATAAATTTGCAGATTATTGGAGGCAAGTGTGCAGGAGATCTCTAGCGATGTACAATTATAGCCGTTCGCCAGGATTCTACGCAGAGAGAGAAGTGTCCATCAAAAGCATAAAGAATGAGGTGAAGGAGGTGAGTATGAAGAAGAAGGGGAAGAAGGTGTCGTCTGTCGTGGAACTAATAAGGATCAGAAGAAATTGTTCGTTATAGAATCGTCTATGTAACAGTTCTCATAATTTGCAATAAATAATAAATCCAGACGTTAAAAAAAAATTGAGTACGATTTTGGGTAATAAGAGGCTTTATCACGACGATTATGAATTTATGATTCATAAAGTTTTAGTGCATGTACATAGTTGATACTATGTGAGTATCATTAACAATTTTTTAGTATTAATTTTAATGTTTATTTATTATTTGAGATTTTTTATGATACTAGTGATAAATCTGTTTCCAGTGGTGAGACCGATATCGGTATCATTAATATATAAAAAAAAATATTTGCAAAATCGATTATGTATTGGATTATGTATTTTGCAAAATTATTTATATCATTCATATAAAAAAAATTATTTGCAAAATTATTTGAACATGTTTTACAACTCAAAACACCTAGGGGGTGTATTGGATTATGTATTTTGGAAGAGTTTAATATTTTTTTGAAAGCACCTGTTATTGAATTAATGATTTTGAAATGCATTCACAAATCTCATGTTATTGAACATGGAATTCACTTAAAAAGATTCAAAGTCATCTAAAATCACTTGAACATATAGTGGCCTGATTCAAAGCAAGCTGAAAGTACTTTATATCAAGCTGAAAGATTCAAAGCAAGCTGAAAGTACTTTATATCTTGAACATATAGTGGCCTGATTCAATCGTCCAGAGATTAGAATTTTCACTAGAGGATACATAAACCAGAACCCTTGTGAGATTGGAACTCAATAATTTGACATCTCCGAAATCCACAAGCCAGCACTATAAATAAATAAAAAAACACTATGGAATCTATGATTCAATCTTACCAAATCACCAATAGAATTCACTTCCATTTTTTTATGAAAACCCAAATAAAAGTCTCCCGAAACTCCTTAAAATTCACATAAGTCCCACAAAATCTAAAATCTACCAAATGACTTAAAATCTTTGATCTAACTTTAAATGTTACGAACTAAACGATCCAACAAAACAATGTATTTGGATTCTCAGAAAAGAAGATTCCAACAAACCTGAGATACAGAAGTCTCTGTACTCTTGGGAGCTGCTAATAAAGTAGCTGAAGTTGAAGAAGATCCATTGATAACCGGGAAAACGGCCATTTTCAACCCCAACTATTTGGGGGCGGGTTTTTCCAACCCAAACTAAGGCCCCCCGTCAATTTCTACCCAAACTCAAAACTAATTCAAATTCAAAACCTAAACTAATGAAAATTAGCCGATTTCAACACGACAGAAGACGGTGTTAGTTCGGGATTTAACGGCTGCTGAGTCAGCGATATCGTGGCATTGACGTGGCGGAAAAGCGGCCATTTTCAACCCCAACTATTTGGGGGTGGGTTTTTCCAACCCAAACTATTTGGGGGCAGGAAAAAATAAAACGTCGTCGTTTTCACTGACGTGGCTTCTGGTCAATGAAAACGACGACGTTTTATTTTTTTCCCCTTCAAACAACGAAACGACGTCGTTTTAATTTTGGGGAAAAATTAAAATTAGGGTTCTTCATTTTCTCTCAAAACAGAAAAAATGTTCGTCGATTTTATGAATTCACAGGCACTGTAAACGGAATCTGAAAGA